ATAGGACCAAGATACAAAACAATGTTGAAATGTTTCAACAAAAGTTACCTTCCACACTTCTTTTGTAACTCCGAGAGAAAGCACATCTTTTATCATGTCATCACTTGTTCTTCTCCAGCGCTCTCCAGCACACTCCGAGGACTTGCAGGAGCTGCTTTCCCATGTGGCGCCCTTCGCCGGCTACGACTCGGCCAAGAGCTACTTCGAGCATGAGAACCCGGTGCGCGCTTAAAAAGTGAAACAGTGAACGAGAAAGCGTTGAAACGACAGAACTTGGTGGGAATCAGTATGTGAGATCTCCTGCATAACATTCTTGACGGGATCAAATAATAATTAATTAGATATAATTAGATGATGACATCGATGGGTCGCTCTTAATCGATGAGTTCCTTCCCATAGATCCGAAGATCTAGTAAATTGTTTCGTTGCCTGTCCCAGTATCCACAGGTTATGTGATCAGATCAGATGTGTGTATAATAGTTATATACCTAGAGCCTGCAAAAGACACGTGTGTTCTATTCCCAGTGGGGGCTCTCTCCCTTCAGGCGAAGCATCGACCCCAAACAGCTGCAGATTTGTCCCCCAGTGCCCAAGTAAAAAAATTCATGGGCGACAACGCGGAATCATCTCAGCCCAGGATCCGGAATTTCAGCCCGACCATGTGGGAGACAGAGGGAAACAACGAAAAATCATCACAACCCAGCATCCAGAAACCATCTTGTCCCAGGATCGTTTCTATGCAGGAATTCAGAACCCCTCTCAGCAAAGCTGTTTGGGGAAGAAGACTTCACAAACATTAATTTTGGATAATATTGGTGTCAATTTAGTTTACTTCTGTGTTTTTTTTATTGTAATCTTTGCATCACTTTGGTGTCATGTTATTTGTCGCGAACTTGCATTTTTCTGCGTCATGTTTTCCGTTATATATATTTATATATATATAGAGCCCCTACAACGCGCAGCGCCGCGCTTTCGCACCACTAACGCTTTCCACCAGTGAAATGACACCACCGCTTCTTCGTGGCCCCGTTCGCCGGAAGAGAAGTCGGTCGTAACTGGGAGCGACTTTTGGGTGGTCACTTCGAACCCCGAGTCGCACAGGCTGGTGCGACTCGTAGAGACCTTTGGGTAGTTTTGATGCAGCGGAAAAGAAACACAATCCCCATCAAGGGGCAGCTTGAGGTATCCTGGCAGCAGGATCAGTAATAAATATATATATATATATACAGCATGGCCTTGTGAAAACTGTAGGGGCTTGTCGGTTTCAAGAGGAGTTCACTCACGCTCAGGGTGTGCAGTAGGTCCAAAGATATCCAACGATGTCAAAAACAAATCCCAGGACGGAGTGTTCAATGACACCCACTTCAGACAGAGTTGGACTGCTTGAATAAAGAATATCCTTTTTCATGTAGACTCAAGACGGAGTTTGGGGTTTGAGCAGCACTTAACCAAGGTGCGAAGGTGCGTGATGATTCATGAGAACCATTTGCAGCGCCATCAGTGTGGGAGAATTTCCAGTTGCTTGACCCTGTAATTCCAAGAGTGGATCCTCAGAAAGTAAGGTTCTTCCAAAGTAATTTCTTTCGTTTTCAGGTGAACTATTTGATATCCCTTGGAGGTATCTAGTGGAATCCTCCGAGAGAACAAGTCCACGGACGTGAAGTTTTTCTTCCGGGTTTTGCTGAGCGGGAACTTGTGATGTCCCCGCTTGTGAATCCCCTACGGAATATGGGAATGAAATGATTCATGCTTGCGTTAGATATTGATTTCATCCCGCAGCGACCGTGTCTCGGAGGTGCTCTTTGCACCCCACGTCCGGACGCCTTGCTTGATCATCAATGCCTTGGATGACCCCCTGACGGTACCGACGTCGCCCGGCGGCGAGTGGAGAGGGAACAAGTTGTGGAGATCTCTTGGTGGAGCGAAGTTGTTTGTTTGTTCGTTTGCTTTGTTTGTTGTTTTGTTTTGTTTGTCTTTCTTTGTTTGTGTGTTATTGTTATTGTTATTGTTTCTTTGTATATTAATGCTCCAGACTCCAGCCCTGTGAAATGTTTGGATGCACACCCAGCCAAACAAGTAGGGGGTACTAGTGGTGTTTGTGTTCAAAAAGAGACCGATGTTTGTCTTCTTGTTTATCTGATGGGGTCGGACGATCTCCATTCCCAAGCAGAATGCCACATCTATTTTGGGGGGCAATCAAAGATGACCCTTCGCCAATCGGTGGAATCTCACCTTCGCCAATCGCAATCGCTTCGTCTCGGGGCCCGCAGATCCAGATACCAGGTTTCAATCCAGAAACTTCCTGGAAGTATTGGATCAAGGCTTCATTGTTTGGGGGGGGCCCTGGCATCCCTTGGCATCCCTTACACTACGAGATCTATGACTTCAACGAACAGCTGGGTTGCTAGTGGCTTGAATCTCGAACAGTTGCTGCAGGGGGTCGACAGCAGAGTTGATGGGTTGACAGCTTTGAGAGCTGCAGGGGCGGCTTGCAAATCGTTGAACTGGAGCACCTTCTAGAAGGGTTAAAGGTTTCTGAACATGCAGCAAACATATATTATTGCAATTAGTATTGCAATTACTGTGGGAAATTAATCTTATCATCATTTTGTCCGAGTCTTGCGCCTATGCAGCAGTCGAGGAATGCCTTTGGCAAGATGCCAGGAGAGGTGGCACTTGCAAAGCAGTTGACGAAACAATTGTTCAGTACCAGACCTCCAAACACAACAGCCGCTTCGCTTGAGGTACTGCGGCAAGACTCATTCTTGCTTTGCTTGTGGAGTACCAAAGACACGCCCCCCCCTGCATCATGCATCTCTACAGAACTTAAACGATCAGATTATATCATATATCAACGATATATTTGTGCAGTTTCTTTGGTTGTCTTTGCAGGGTCCAACTACCTTCGAAAGGAGCTTTCCAACAGGAGCCGTAGAAAAATTGAGCAACAATATCGTTCCACTTTCAAGACTAGACCAATATTTGCTTCTTCCAGAAAATTTTACACTCAAACTCAGGGATATTCAGGGACCCTTACTCAGTAAGTAGAGCCGTCAATTGGATAGAAGAAGGATGCAGAACGTGTGCATTTGTGCCACGAACATGCCAGGTTCTGTATCTCCAGTGACTGCTTGTGATTGACTCAGACCTGGTCAACCCATCGAACGTCCGTCTCACATCGACTTCCATCCATGTGCGGCTCAAACGAACAAAACCTGTCTCCAATTCCAGGAATCACCTGTCGGGATGCCGAACTTACGAAGGTGCCCGGGGTGCATAGGTGCCCCTGTGACTGTCGGGACGAGGCGTTTCTCATCCAGTCCTCGGAGCGAGCCAAACCACTCGGCGACCGGAGGACAGGAGGATGGGCCCAGCTTCGCGGAGATGGTGGAGGCCTCGGACTGCGGACTGCTCCTGATGACGCCCTCAGGCCGGGCTCCGTTTTTGGGCAAATTGATGTGGCAGAAGTGGAGAAGTGGCTGAGAGGAGGGCGACTCCAAGGGGCCTGAATGGAGAGCTTTCAGGAGCAATCAGTCTGAAACCTGAGATTCCAACCGATTCCGACTTGTGAAAAAGACTAAGCGAATGCACGAGTCAACCTGAGTCCTGGTTCCGCCAGAAGACTGGGATGTGAGTTCGGGGATCCATTGAGTTCGGTGTCCGCGGGATTCTGTCTTGAGAGTAGGTGGCACAATCCTCAAAGGGTAGTTTGATGTAGTTTGTATGGACCCCCAGCTGAAAGACATTTTGGGGTGTTGTATGGACCATGCCATACTGAAACCAATGTAAAAGGTGATGGTGATGACGCGAATTTGGCTGGCAATTTGGCACATGGGTAGAAAAGTCTTTTTATATTCTTCGATCCTTATATGAAGGATATGTGTTTTCAAGTGTGAGAGTTTGGCGATGTTTGACAGGAAAATAATACAAACATTATCAAACATTATTCCAGATCCTCAGTTCTGATCCTCGTGTTTCGGAACCTCTCCACGAACCTCTCCACGAAGAAAGGGTCACAGGTCGTGGGACGCTTGGTAAGCCAAACGCAGCTCCAAAGGAGTGCCGAACGTGGAGGAAGTCGGGGTGTCCCTGTCACATCCACTCAGCACATGGGACTTTAACAGCATGCCTTTGGAACTGCTGGTCAATTGTATGTTCTTCCACTGTTGTTCCACTTGTTCTTTTCCGGTTTTTTGCCTGGTTCTTCAAAGTGACCATTTAATATCCTTAGATTCTCAAAGGTCACTTGGAATTCCTTTGGGACTCCAAAAAGGTCACTTTGAAGAAGCTGGTTGAGAGTTTTGAATTTTCTTTCACTTCACTTCTCTCTTTTCAGAGGCGACTCTACTACAGGCTTCCAGTCTCTTTGGCTGATCGAGCGGATCTTCTTTTGGTGACATGTGCACAAAGGTCATCGATGTGCATGGATCCGGCCTTCCAACAGGCTGGCATTTGTACGGTAACAGTAGCAGGTAATGGCAGGTATACCGATAGGTTGTGAGTATATATACATCTTGGGATTAGCTGGTGACATGTGCAGATGTCTTTGGTAGGGGTTCCATGAATTTCCATGACAGGTGTTGTCTTTTTTGATAAAAATGTGCAAATTAATGTGAAAGAAACCAGACTATGTCCCGGACGTCTTCTCACACGAGGATTTGTGTCTATGTAACATAGGTAGGGATTCGGGTTTTATACATTTTTGGTTCTGGCCAGGTTAGTTCCCAACTTTGTGTTGCTGCGCCACTGATTGGTCACCGTAGCTAGGAAAACAGCAGCTCAGCATACAGTGGAATGGGGGATGGTGATGAAGCAAAATCCTTCAAGATGAACCTGAAGCCTACTGGTTTGTACACGAGACCCTGGTCCAGTTGGGTCTACTTTCAGGTTCCATGGGCGGAAGTGTCCTGTGTCCTCCCTTTAATCCTGCCCGGTGCTGTTGCCGTTTGCTGTTCTATTGGGCTGCGAACGGCGCTGGTGGCCCCCCCATGCGATCCCAGCGAGTGTTGCCGCTGTGCAACCCTGGAGCACGGCAATGGCCACTGAACTCAAGTTGGCTTGTGTATTTTTAAGAGGGAGACCCCCCCAACGGATGGGTTTTGGTCTATTTTCCAGGGGTCGAACTGGGAGGTCTCCCTATTTTGACACATTTGTCCTCCTGCAGGGGGATTGAGCGACAGGTCTACTCTTACTCATCCTCCAAATCTATTCGAGACCAGATCCCTTGCAAGAAAGAGCTGTATATTCAGAAGGTGTTTTGGGATAGCTATATTCATTGTAAGATGTCGCAAGCGGAAGAAGTGGTGATAGGGTGTGCAGGGATGGGTTTGGAACATTGATCCCAGCAAGACGATATCTACAAGTTGACTTTGTCACACCATGTCCATGTTTCTCGGACATGGGGTGCATCTATGTGTATCTTGATTCGATTTTCTCTTGTGGGTGTTGGGGCTTTGGTCGCAGTCAAGAGCAGGGGCCTCAGATCAAGAAGGGGCCCAGAGAAGCATGTCAAAATTCTGTCTCTATAGGTATGTTTAACCGGTATGTTTTTTTTGTTTTTCTCTTTCTCTCTCTCTCTCTCATGCCTTGCAGGTAGTCAATAGCTGCATTGGTTTACCCTTCAAGTGCAGTCATGTTCGATTGGTCAGGCAGCTGTTGCTTGCAAGAATGAGTGCCATGCTTGATTCTTCGTGCCAGACTCCAGGTGGGATGGCACAGGGTTGTCCAGTTATATGTGTTTTCTGTTCCGCCATGCCTAACACCTGATAACTTGACAACCAATGTCGAACATGGTGGGAGCCATCATTCATCATTGCCTGTTTTCTGGTCTGGAGACCTCATACTGTATGTCGGATACCTTCCAATGACCTAAAGTCTCCGAGACGTTGTACTCACCTTTTGCCGGCAGCTGCCTCAGCACAACCGAAGCAACCTCCCGGACCTCACTGACCTCACTCCTTCCGGACAGCTTGCTGCTTCCCCAAGCAGCTTCAATATCAGTCCAAGGCTGAGGCCTTGGTGGACTTGCACTGGGTTCTCTTTTTTGTTTTCTTTTCCAGGTCCTTCATAGTTTGTGTGCAGTCGATCTAATTCTAGCAGGGTATCCACTTTCGAGTGACTCTGCAGCTTCAAGCCAATGCCAACTCAACAAAAAGTAGAAATGCTAATGATGGGAGTCCTGCTGCACAGCCCTCCCATCAGAGTACTGTGGCTTAGCATCACCCTCCCCACTCCCACTCACTTTTAGGTGATAATCCATACCAGGCATCGTGGGTTTTGTGATCCTGAAGGCTCCAGCAGCAGCAGCGAGTGAAACATGTTTGCTCAAAGTTCAGGTCCGAAGCCTCTACACCAATCGACTAGCATTTGCTTCCCTCATCTTTGTTCATCGCCCTGAAGCTTGGCACCCTCAGCACTGGCCCTTTCTGCCAAGGACCGGCGTGACTTCTCCAAAGTGCTGGACGACAACTTGGTTCACTTCAGAAGGCCTGGAAGCCCACCAGGGCCCAGTGACTGGGTGCCCTGCGCCACCCCCAAATGATATCACCTGTGCGGGTTTCGTGGAGGTGCCGAGGATTTGTGAGGTGCAATCCAAAAAGATTTGCTTCACTGCCTCAGGGCTCGAGGTCCTTGAGGTCTTTGTGTGTGTTTCTTTTTTCAGCTACTTTGACAAAAATGAAAAATAGAGCTTCAACAGTCTTTTACTGTCTTCCCTGGGTGGTGCAACGTGGGGGTTGGCCCGACTGCAACATGCACAGGGCTAGAAAAGCAAGCGTTTTACAGGGTCTTTTGCCTTTCGGGTCACTCAACTTATCGTCTTGGAGTTCATGAACTCCAAGACAATGACTTGAGTGGATTTTCAAGACACTCAAATAAGACAAGGTTTGCGGTCCAGTCTCTCAGACCTCCACAAGAAAAGGTGTTACTCGACCGTGTTGATGAAAGTGAGACCAACCAAACATCGACGAGACGATCAAAAAACGACGAGACGGGTGATCGACAGTTTAACAATGAAGCCTCCTGAACAAATTACACAGTCGGATCGGAGGTCCACGGGAGCAACCATCAATGGGGGCATTCATCCAAGGGTCAGGGGTCAGAGTTGTGAAAAAGGCCTCAGATGCTGATTGGGGGAAGGGCACTTCAAACCGGACAAACGCAACAAAAGAACTAACCACAAACACAACAAACAAACCTCAAACGTGGAGCCCGCCATGTGAAAGGGCAAAACGACAAGAGGATTGGGCCAAACCACCGTCGTGGTATACATGCCAATGTGGCCTGATGAAACATGTGAAATCAGCATGCAAAAGGATGATCATCTTCTTCACCCGTCACGAGACTTTCATGGGTCATTCGACCGTGTGCAGTTTCGCAATCTCTTAAATCTTCTACTAGAGTCGTTCCAGTAACACCATTGACTTCTTCGAAAGAAGTTGGAACCTGAGCACACCAACAACATCGTAACGCGAGTGTCGATTTACGCGAGTAGAACCACGAACGAAACGTCACGAAGCCGAAAGTACAACGCGAATGTCGATTTACACGAGTAGTAACACGAACGAAACTGTCCCCAGCCCCACCCCCAACCCCGCCCCGAAAACCATGTTGGGGTCGTCGGGAAGGTTTGCTTTCGGGGCAACCCCCCCCGTTGACCCAACATGTTGTATGAGTTCTCTTTCCAAGATTTAACACATCAACACGTAGTGGGAACAGAGGCGTCCCTGACATGTTGGCCACCCTTTAGAGAAAACAAGGGAGGTTGCTTGCTGGAAGAGTACCATCCCATAAAGATCCCAAACCATTTTGCAACCAACAGCCTCACAATCATATGAAGGTTTCAGCTGTGTCGTTTTGCAGAGAAAAGACGTGTTCCAGTGTTCCAGATAGGGATTGAATGGGCCATCCTGGATTCCCTGTCATATTATACTGTATATATATATATACACCATATATATGTCCATCCTATACCAACCCCTGGGTCCCTGCTGGGGATCAACCTGCCATGAAACGATCGATGTTCAGGATAGACATCCTGCAGTCGTGCTTTCCTTAGCTCGCTTTGATATGTGCCACTCAGCTCACTCCGGCGGCACAGGCAGCTCTTGGCCGCCACCTTCCCCAGGGATGGAGCCAAAGGCCGGAGGGAGGGTGGAGAGAGGCGACAGCCCACTGGGACTTTTCGATAGAAAATTGATGAAAACATATTATGAAAACATCATGGAACCAACAAAAGCCAGTGGTTTGGAGTCTTTTTTTCAGACAACTCAGCGGCACAAGACGGGATTCAGATCAAATCATGTGTGGCTTCAAGTTGAAGGATTCTTTGGTCCAGAGTCTGGGTAAAGAAAGTGTGTAAGCCAGTCTAAGCATCAATATGCCTTCAGGGGTGGTGGCGGTGGTGGTGATGGTGGTGGTGGTGGTGGTCGTAGTGGTAGTAGTAGTAGTAGTCGTCGTCGTCGTAGTTCACCGCTTGCGTGACTTAGCCACGAGTCCAAAGAAGTTGCCTTTTGGGTTCACATACAGTCAAAAAGTTGCTAGTTCCCACAAAAAGTTCCATTGGTATACACATGTTCGGAATGGCAACCAGTATTTGTGTTGCTCCTTAAATGTTGTATTCCCTCACACACATGCCATATTGTCCTTCACCGGCTCACCGGCTTCGAGTTCTGTGGTGACCTCGATCGACACTCCTCAGACGACGTAGGAACCGAGGACCGCTCGCCTGAGCGGCCCTCAACGCCCAAGCGGCCGCAGACGCCGAAACCAAATCTGAACCTAATGGAGAGCTGCTTGGAGTGAGAGCCGCGGTGAGTGCGGTGAGTGAAAGAGAGCGTTGGCATGTGTTTTTTTTCGGGTGTTTGTTGAAGACCTGAAGGCATCAAAGAGATTGTTATACATGTTTTTGTTTCCTGCAAAGTGCAGTCAAGCCACCCTAGACATCAAGTCTCCCCGTTGCTGGGGCAATAGTTATGTACCCGTATCATCAAACCTTTTGGTCGCCAATTCAATCGTTCAACCCGGGGATGCCCAGGCATGACCCCAAGCTTTCTTTGGCTCGAATCATTTTTTGGGGTTGAGTAGGTGCAGGATGTACGGTCCATAAAACCATGGGACTCGAGGCAAAGATTTGCCACTCAGTAAACCATTCTTTGGATATCAACTATTTATTTAGCTATATATATATTATGTATATCAGTACTGTTAATTCAACAAGAAACCATTACAAAACAATGACACAGGCTGTGCTCACTGCTCTACAAAGGCTTCTGCGGTAGGAGTGCCTGTCTTCTACCTGTTTGGTCCAAGCGGAAGAAACCAACTTGCAACGCCTGGCAAGTCCGTTCCAATTGGGCTCCAGACGGAGCGTTTGTCAACCAGCTGCTTCGGAAGTCTCATGGCCTGTGAAGGTGACACAAAATCAAGTTCGGTCACGAAGAACCAGGCCAAATCTGAAGGGGTTTGCCATGGGTTTACCTCTTGCCAATCGAGTCCTTGTATGGCTTACCTGGTTTCCGTGCAAAACGCCCGACGCAGCGCAGTGCCAACCAGGCGGGACTCGATCAACCCGGCTGCAGCCGGAGCTCGAAGTTCCCAAAGTGGCCCGGGAAGCGTCCAAGGGTCGGAACTCCGTCGGGGATCCCGGTGTGTCAGGAAGGGAAGAAGGCGAGAGCGGGGAAGTGGCTGGTGGCATTTAGCCATCCTTCTCAGTGAGTTCTTGATATGAACATAAGTTAACATATAAAAACCGTCTTGACATGAAACTGGGAGCCTGCGAGGTGAATTTGGACAGGAACGTTGAAGCATGCCCTCAAGCAGTCCTTCCTCCAACTAAACAATGACTTGTACAAAAGAAGGTTTCCCTTTTTTTCGTTGCCCGGAACATCCACTCACCTACGGTCCAAATACCACCTGTTTGGAACTGCAGGACGGGACGTGTTTCTTTTCTTTTGTGCATGTGTGTGTCATGTTCTTTTTTGATCTTTTTTGGGGGAGGAGCTGCTGATTTTGACCGCTTTGCTGCTGTTTTCTTGGGTGCTTTCCTTCCAACGGACGGCCGATTGCGGCCGCGCTCAGGTGACCTTCCGACAGCGGCCGAAGGTTCGACCCTTCGTCGACTCGCGGTGCGTTCCTTTCTTCGACTCACTGACGTTTGGTGAAGAAGAGAAGCAGTGTAGCCACTTTGGTCAATGATTTGAACACCGGAGGACCTTGTTTGAGCACCAAAAAATGAACAGAATAGACGACTATAAGGAGGTCAACTTACCAGAGATTAGGGGTCTGGGTTTTGACCCACAGCCATTTCTTGGCTGTTTGGGACGTCTCTCCACTCTTGTGCTGCGGCGCAACAAGCAGACAGGTGGAGTCAACAAAATACCAAGAGTTGTTCAGGGATTGTGTTTAGACCCCCAAGTGATTGGATGTTCGGGGCACCCCTAGATACACTCCAAGATGTGATATAGGCCCATAGGCATATGTCGGGTGTGTCCCATTGCCAGTATAGCCCAACGGCAAAAGGTTAGTTAGCACTCTTTTCCATCACCTTCCTGGTCCCTGGAAATGGGATATAACCAAGGCATATACAGGCATCCCGACCTGGAACTGCTGGCGATATGTATTGAAGTAGGGAGACCACCCTGGTCCTGACCTTCCAACGGATGGTTTTGGGACCCTCGCTTGGAGGGCGGGCAATTTCTTTTTTAAATAATAGCACGAGTTTTGTGTATCCCTTGACCGCGACAAAATGAGACGATTAATAACACATGCATTTAAACACAACAACTTTAAAGTTCGATCTATTCTGGTCCGGTTTTGGGATTGAAAGGATGCTGTTCCGGCCATGTTTTGTCAATGCAACTGAGCAATTCCCATTCTTCCTAATTACATATCATTGAGTTCTTGCTGATAAAGCCATTTCCATACACCCAGACAACCTGGCTGGCTGTGATTTTTTTGCCACAATCACTGGCACCTTGCTTCATTTGCTACACTGCTGAGCAAGCTCGAGCGCTTCATCGAACTGCTTCCGCGCGAACCGGTCCACAGGAGCTGGAAGATGCTTGTGTGGAGACCACCAATAGCCAATCCCTTCGCTCCTCAGTCCTCGATGCACCGCGGTGGATTGCGCCTGGCGCATCGGAGATGGTGCACCGTGGGTCGCGCAGTAGGGTGGGTCCCTGACCGGGTTGAGTCCGATCGATCGGGACCTTTGTTATAGCCCCAGAAGACACAACCCCAAATGTTAGCATATAGAGCTAACTTTCGATCCGGTAGGAAAAGACATGAAAAGACCCTATGTTTGGGTGGTCAGTGGGCAACAAGCTCAGGCTGCCATGTCGAGTTCGTTCTTGCGGACGACGTCCGTCGCTTTCTGTTTCGACCGGGGGAGAACGGGACATCCATCAACCGGAGGCTCGGAACCGGCGAAGAGCGCGACCACAGAACGCAGCGGGCACCATGGGGGTACTGAATTGACATGAAGGTGAAGTAAAGACATCGGGGAGTTGTGCGGAGGACGTAAGAGATTGAAGATCCGACTGCGCATAGGTCCGGTGGATGAAGGTGGTGGGAACTGCCAAAGATCCGACACTGTCAGGAGCAGATAGATCAGATAGGAGCAGACGTGTGTGAAGACGCGCCAAGCGCGGAGGCACCCCGGTCTTCGTTTGCAGGCACCTTCATCGGGAGAAGCTTGAGGGGAGTGCCACGCATCCCCAGAAGCCTCGGTCAGAGGCAGAGGGTACCTGGATTCCTAGATTCCTGGATGTCAACTGGGCGCGGTGGTTTCAAGTCTTGATGATCAACCTTCGGATGATCCCACTGGATCTCTACAAAGATTCAGAACCTTTTGGGCAGATCCTTCGCCACCAAGGTTTCGAGTGGCAAGATCCCACGCAGTCGGCGCATTCCGCCAACTCGGAGCGCCGGCCTTTTTGGGGGAGCGGAGGGACCGGACGGATCTACCTGGGGGGAGAAGCCATAAACGGAGCCAGCTTCTCCGGTAGTTATTGTGCAACAGGTGTGGATGCTTCAACATCGCACACGTGACATTTGAGGGAGGCCACCAGTCCAGCCATGCCGGAGCAGCACCCGAAATCGCAGGTCCCGGAGCGTCAACGTGAGTCGATGGAAGCCGAAAGCACTGGTCACAGCAAAGTGGCCGTTGATGCCACCCACAAGCGGGACAAAAGCTGGAGGTCCTGACCTTGGTGTGCGTTCGTTTCTTAATGATCCGTTCAGAATATGACTAAATCATCATCATCACTGGGCCCCGGTAATGTTCAGAATATGACTATTTTAGAGAAAGACTAACCATCATCATCACTGGGCCCCGGTAATGTTCAGAATATGACTATTTTTAGAGAAAGACCTGGAACCTAACCATCATCATCACTGTGCCCTGGTAATGGGATAGACCCTATATATATATATATTATATAACGCTGGTTACCGTGCTTTTGGCTCATGTGCAGCTGCACAGCCCTCCATCATAGTGATTTGCTATATGCGCATCGGACATCGGACCTTTTCAGTAGAACGATCTTTCTCGGTCAACCGTGGAGGATGTGCCGTGGTGTTTTGACTTTTCCGAGTCTCAAGACATGTCAGGACACCTCCCTGAACTCTGACACCAGCCTGGGCATCCCTGCTGCTCGCCAGAGAACCGGCCGCAGGGACCAAACAAAAAGTACAAGGCGGTACAGATATCTATGGTAGCTTTTCCTCTATGAAATGGGGGGGGACAACCCCCAATATAACACGTAATATGGTTTAGTGCTTGGGGGGATACACCCTGATTGTATAGAGAGTTTCGTGTGACCATGCAAATTTTGATATCATGCAGAGAGTTAGAGTTTGAAATATGTAACATGTACATGCTGCTGAGGGTTGGAAGTTGAATCCATTTTGGCTGAAATGAACAAAGAAGCTGGCGAGCAACAATGGAGATACAGAGTATCACCTGAAGAAAACGTTTTTCAGCGTGTTTCAGCATAATTAAATAATGTGTTCAAACATGTGAAAAATAAACATCATCCCGGCAAGATACCCCAAACAGTGTGAAGCTCGAAAAGGACGAATCCGAGGTAGAGCGCCCACGATCAAGCAGAGATTAAGAGAGATCTAGATACAAAGCTCCATGCCTAGATCCAGACAGTCCGTTGTAGAGGTCTCTAGGTCTGAGAGAGAAAGAGTGAGTCAGAGTGAGTGAGAGTGAGCGTGAGTGTGAGTCAGAGTGAGTAAGTGAGTGAGAGTGAGAGTGAGTGTGAGTGAGTGAGAGTGAGTGTGAGTGTGAGTGAGAGTGAGTGAGAGTGAGGGTGAGTGTGAGTGAGAGTGAGTGTGAGAGTGAGTGTGAGTGAGAGTCAGAGTGAGCGTGAGCGTGAGTGTGAATGAGTGAGAGTGAGTGTGAGTGCGAGTGAGAGTGAGAGTGAGCGTGAGAGTGAGCGTGAGAGTGAGTGTGAGCATGAGCGTGAGCGTGTGAGAGTGAGAGTGAGAGCCCGCCACGAAATCTGCACTTCGAGGTTCACAAAGCGCTGCGCCTGCCACGAAGTCTGCACTTCGAGGTTCACAAAGTGCAGTGTCTGCCACAAAATCTGCACTTCGAGGCTCACAAAGCGCTGGGCCTGCCACGAAGTCTGCACTTCGAGGTTCACGAAGTGCTGCGCCTGCCACACAACCTGCACTTCAAGGTTCACAAATGCAAAGTGCTGCGCAACCTGCACTTCGAGGTTCACAAAGTGCTGCACCTGCCACGAATTCTGCACTTCGACCTTCACACAGTGCTGCGCCTACCATCGAAATCTTCACTTCAACATACTTCAACGAAATCTGCACCCCAAGCTTCACAAACTGCTGCACCTGCCACGAACTCTGCACTGCACTTGAAGGTCCACAAAGTGCTGTGCCTGCCACGAAATCTACTTCACCTGCCGCGATTTATGAAAACGAGCCGCATGTAGAAAAGCCACGGTTCACTGCACCTGTCACGAAATTAGGGCACGCCCAATCTCACCACCATATCCAAAGTGCTGCCATGAAAACTGCATTTCCCTGCAAAACCGCTCCGATCCCTTACGCCTGTCACGACAAGTCAGACTTTGCACCACCAAAAAACGAGGTTTCCCGTGCGCCTGCCACGAAAAGTGACCACCATGTCCGAAAATGCGCACGGCGCCCCAACGAGAGCGCAGTCCCGACAAGCGCCCGCCGCGGCCACCCAGATTTTGGGAGCTCGCGCAGTCGAAATACACTTCGAGGATTTCGAGAGGCATGAATGTATAGTGCAAATAGCAACAAATTAGCTGGACGCCCCGATGCAACACCTCGACTAAACACCGGCCCTTTACACTTACCGTAAGAACCCCTGGTGTGACCACACTGTTTGGGGAACAAATAGAAAAACCAAAAAGATTATATTTATATCCAAGTTGCAGACATCTGAAATGCCTTAGATGCGTGAACCTTTCGGTAGCCAACTTCATACATTGAGGCCCAGGTCAGCAGACGCTGGCAGACACTGTCAGGCCCCACCTCTTCTCTATAAACTGGCATGCCGTGACCGCCTCACCATTGCATAAAAAGGTTCCAAGTGTCTGGCCTGATCGAACCAGGCCACCACAGGCTGTGGATTTACATCAATGAAGCAAGTATCATTGGTAGTAATCTATTTAGGATTATCTGAGTCTTTGATTTTTAACAGCTCTATTACAACGAAATCTAATGATTTATTACATGTTTATTTTGTATTCCAAATTCAATATTTTCGTCAATATTTGGTGATGCATTCGTTATGACCAAAAATAGATGGAATCACATTAAACTGAATGTCTATTCTTAATCCAGGTACGCGAGCTTTTGTGAACTGCCGTGAGAAAGAGTCAACAGTAATTCGCAAACATCCCGAAACCAGAGTGGATATATATATATATATACATGTGATATCATAAATATACAGATATATTTTGGGAATGTCATGTTTAAACTAGTTTAGTTCTATTTTAAAAATCGACATACAACTTGTGCAATAACAGCAATATTCTAGATATACATATTCAAATATATATATATATATATACATGCATACATAAACATACATACATATATATATATTATATAAAACTCTTTTGCTAAACATTAAGAACACGTTGATTATACGGAAAATGCAAATATCTTGCTGCATTTATCAAAAACGTAGATCTATTTTCGGATGATAAATCCATGTCGCACACATCTGACATGTTTTTAGTTCACAGCACTGAGGTTCAGCCCAGCAGACGTTGGCAGAGACTGGCGGGCCCCAGCCCCACCTCGTCTCTATACAAAATGGCATGCCTTGATCCCCTCAAAATTGCATAGAAAGGTCCGGGTGCCCACCTACTGCCCTGTTGGGCAAGGTGAAGTGTCTGGCCTAATCGGTCCAGGCCACGGCAGGCTGTGGATTCACATCTGAACTGTTTTAGATGTGTGCGCGGACCTTGGGCTACCAAAGCTCAAAGCATTGAGGCATATTGAGGCTCAGGCAGGCCCCAGCCCCACCTCTTCTCTGTATGCCTTGACCCCCTCACTCCTCACCTTAGCAAAAAAAGGTCAACATACCCACCTACTGCCCTGGAGAGGGCCAAGTGTCTGGCCTGATCGAACCAGGCCACCACAGGCCGTGGATTTACATCCATGTACGTTGGACACATCTGACATGTTTTAGATGTGTGAACCTTTGGCTAACCAAGTTCACTCTGACGCTCGTTCTAGCATCAAACCTGTTTTGTGCTATCACAATGGCTGGGAAACGCCCTGGACTGTATTCTGACATCTTCGTTGGTATATGGGACCCAGTTCAGTCCTGCTATGTGTTCTGACATGTATTTGGACATGTTCTGCCTTCAAAGATATCCTCGCATTCTATCTGGCATAAAATCATTCTGCTTGGTACTACTTGGCATATGCTCTGAACTCTATCTTGCAAAATTGCGTGGCATTCTATCTACCATAGCCGCTACCATAACTGCTTGCATATTATGTTGCATCCTTGCTGGCATTCTATCTGGCATATACTCTGGCATTGTAGTTGGCCAAAAGACTCTGGCATGTTATCTGGCGTACATTCTGACATTCTTTCTGGCATACATTCTGACCTTCTATTTGGCATATGTTCTGACATGCTATCTGGCACATTTCTAACATTCTATCTGGCGAGGTCCGGCGTGGTGCTTGCCGTTGAGGTCCGGTAGTGCCCACTGCGATCTGGCACTTGCAGTTGAGGCCAGGCAGTGCACACTGCAATCTGGCGCTTGCAGTTGCGGTTCGGGAGTGCTCACTCACTGCGATCATGCACGTTAGCCCGCTGGCAGTTGAGGTGCGGTAGTCAAGGAGAGGAGAGAGCTGTGATAAAACCTAACAACCCTTATCTGGCAGGTGGCAAACTCGAAGTCTACTTCCACCAAGTGTGTTTTGGGGGGAGCTGAGATGGATTGACCCACAGGGTATGGAAGCATCTTCGCGTGAAAAATTGTAGGACCTTGCATGCTTGTGATCATATTGCATTCGGATCCAGCTGAAATCTGTGCGGTCGAACTAATTTGGCGAAAAAGGTCACCAGGAGCACTCTTTTCTTCTGTGATTAAAAGGTGCTTTGATGAAACCAACAGAGGTCTTAACCCAAGAGCCCCATCCTGCTTTGAGGGTACGGAATGGTACAAACACCTGCGAAGGTGTCGGGAGGGTCAGACGCTATGGAGGGCCCAAGGATTCTCAGGGTAGCAACCAAGCAAGTTTGGCAGGCCAGTGGTCTAGGTACTCCTGATCTTGTCATACTTCGTCACCAGTGCAGTCCTTCCCAGCTCAGGTGCTTCCTGGGCAGGGCCCCATTAGTGCGGCACCCTACCTGCGGAGTCGGCTACAGGCGACTCCTGGGTGGTGTGCCAGGGTAGCAACGCCTCGGCCGTTGACTCTTGCCACCATGCTACTACTACCTCCTTTTTCACCAGCCGTTGCTGAAACACGTGGCTTGGAGGGTTTTGACCGCTCTGACGGCCGACTTTATTTTCCACTGAACGTCCGCAGGGGCTCAGCAATGAGGAGCAGAAGGCCATCCGACGGCGCTTGCGGCTGCGTTTGGGTGCGATCAGCTCAACCAAGTGGCTTTGGCGCATTGGGATCGGTTGGGATGGTCACGGCGCGTCTGGTGGGTGTGGATGGGTGGAGAAACCAGATGGGTGGAGATCCACTCGGGATCCCTCAGATCGGTGATGACGACGAATCACCACGTTTTTGGATCGAATGATATCGAATGAAAGGATTTATCGGTGGGATCGAATGAGAAGCTGATGAATTTCATTGGGGGAGATTGGAAAAGTAAATGGTAGTAGATGGATATCGCAGTGGGTCTGGACATCCTTTGATAAAGACGCCCTTTCAGAAAAGGAGGTTTGAGAGAGGAAAGATGTAGGCAAGGAAAGTGTTCGCATGAATTACAAAACACTTGGATAAATTTGCATGAACGAGGGGGCATCGTTTGACGGTGTTTTTACAACAACGTTGAAAAAGACACGTATACTCGAGCAAAAGAGCATGCTTAATGTTGATGAAAACTGATATTTTGAGAAGGACCAATCCTTAACTTATATAGACAAGGAGTATATATGTAATGTGGTTATTCCAATGGGGAAGATTTGAAGAAAATGATCCCTCAAAGAAGGACGTTTCAACCCAACATGTTGTGTATCTCTGCAAGAACTCTTGAACATAAGCAGTAATACGATAGCTTCTTGTGGGGGTGCATCATCTTTCATTCATGGTCTTCCAAATTATTTTCCGTTTCCAGGTTTATAGAGCGCGTATGACCACAATCTATCAATAAGCAAGTATACTGACAGGTACAAGGGTCACCACTGGACTGGTCACACAGCGATTCTCGACAACGATTCTCAATGAATTCGACGAACTCGACTGGTCACCCACCGACCTTTTTGAGGTTGGTCTCTGGGCGTTCGCTGCATGACGCAGTGTGCTCACTGGGCTTGACGAGGTATAGCCTTGAAGAGACACTGGGCAGACTGGCGTTTTTTTGCGTTTTGGCCTGTGTGGGCTGTGTGTGGCCGTGTGGGGGATTTTTTCGTATCCCTACTACCCGGTTTGGAGGGTTAGGGCTTAGGAGGGTTGCAACTTAACACGCACTGTAAACACGAACTGTTTGATCCTGAAAAAAGAGGACACACAGGGGGGTTGGCCGAAACGCTCGAAGCAAACTCTCACGGAGATCGAAACTGTTGGTGACTTGCCTTTTCTGTCGCAAGATTCAACGTCTATTATTTTACTATAGGTTGGGTTTGGGCCTTGGGCTTGCCAGTGTGGAGCAGATATTCCTGGAAGACTGGAGAGAAACCAAAGTTTGCATCTAGTCATCTAATCTCACTTGAAGACAGACTGAATGCAGGATGCTGAAAGGAGATAGATGGTCATTTGACCAGGTGGTGCATGGAGCTGAGTACAAGAAAATCATGAGGAGACACAAGGAATGCAAACACATCAAGAAGGACATCGGCCGAACCAACAATGTACCCGAAGTACATACACTTGTACCCCCCCCTAAATTGTACCTCCAAGGCTTGGGTTGTCCAATGGAGATCCACAAGCAGTGTGGGGGCTTCCATTGGTGAACCCTTGGAATGTGCTGGTACACACGCTACTAGGAACAAGAAGCTATGAGGGGCTCCTGGCATCGCTACTAGGAGCAAGGACGCTACGAGGGGCTCCTGGCCTTACTAGGAACAAGAAGCCACCAGTGACAAAGGGCATCACTACTAGGAGCAAGGACGCTACTAGGAACTTCCTTTGGGTTCGCGCCCCACAGTTTGGCCAGAGTTCGAGAGTCCCTCCCTTTGCGTCCTGTGGAGCTGGTTTCACAACGGAATCACCATGCGGGTTAGTTGGAGATTGATAATTTATAAGGAAATTCCAGTCCAAAAAAATTGATCTGATATCAGTAGGAGTGGTGGACATCTGATAGCATATGAATCAAGCATCGATGAGGTAATTCAGATCAATCGCAAAGAACAAAACGGTTGCTTATTCCTGAGCCTGTGTGGCCAATCCAAAACGGTTTTAACAACTCCCCTATAGCCCTACGGCCCTGCCCCTCGCAAAGGGTGTTTCTTAGCAGCTTTGCTTTACCGTGATCGTCGATGGTCTCCTGGCAAGCCAACCATAGGGCTAGGGAACGGTTCATGACCCAAAGTAGCGGAAGATGCCTCACTGTTTGTCATGTTTCTTCAGCGTTTTGTTGACCCTTCATCATCGATCCAACAATTCTGGAAGAGGACGAACGATCCAGTTTGTAGAGTGTGTTGTGAGGAGACACATGGTATCTTTCCCGTTTTCAGAAAAAACACGTGCTGAGGATGAACGATATCGTGAACCTGCTGGCAGCCTTTATCGGCCACTCGTTTTCGCGCCGTCTTCGATCGGAACGCTTCGGACCGGTGAACCGACCCGTGAGGTGCCGGAGAGTAGCGTGCTTCGTTCCCGTGGGAAAAGAAACCATGGGTCACTTTCAATTATGACCATCTACCAACCATAGCCGATGTTGTCGTTTGTCACTAGTTTTCCCCACAAGCCCTACTCGTTTTTTGTCGACTCACGAAAAAACGTCGGGGAGACCGTAGCACCACGGCCCACCATTGACACGGCGAAAGAAGGACCGGACCATGGCTCCCGGTGACGAGTTCTCGAACGAGTTCGAACCGCCCATGTCCTCAACAGTCGACGGTCAAACCGTGTGTTTCTCACGAGAATCCTTTTCGTGACGAGAGGGTCGGAAGGATGAAGAATCTTCTTCTCTGACTGGTCGAAATCTTTTCGGGAGACATTGTTGGCCAACGAATTCCAATGTGTGAGTATAACTGAGTGTATGTGAGTCGAGACACACGACCTGTGGATGGTTCTATCATGTTACATTCCAAACATATCCAAACATGGCAATAAGATGCAAGATGATGCAACAAGTATATTGTATACTGATGTATACTGTAGGCTATATAGGTGGTAGTATGATACACTGGAGAGGGTGCATGAAATCATCGCAAGCGAGGTCATTTGTGGCCCATGTTCAAATCTGTAATAATCATTGTGGGGAACCCCCTCCCAACCTGGTTCTGCCCCACTATGGGGATCAATTTTTGTTTTGTGGATTGAAGACCGGAATCGGAAGACTCCTTTCCCCCAGAATTGTCATGCAGGCTCTGAAACACCTTCGCAGTCTCTTCTGGTGTGAGGAGCAAGGTTTGAAATCAGCGTGAATCAGCATTGGAGAGTTGGTAGTGACTGAAGATCGTATAGGAATAGCCTTCCCATTTCTGGGCTCCAACTTAACCCTGGAACAATCGTGGAAGGCTTCTTGGATGACCATTCTCGTCTATTTTCACTTAACCACGACCATTTCAGGGAGTGTAGCTCTTGTGACACAACCCTCTTCTCGTAGTAACTCGTAGTCATCTGCTGGTTTCGGATATTTCTATTTTCAACCCTTACTTGGGGATGATTGGACCCTCTGACTCATATTTTTCTGTCGTGGGTTGAAAACACCAACCGGTCGTAGAAAATCTGCTGTTTTGGAACGTGAAACCGGAGCCGTGTGGATCTTTTTGAGGCCACCTTTTGGCCGCTCCTGACGTCACGTATGGCGCAGTCGGTCAGAAGACTTGTCGGCTCCTCTGCAGGTCTGCACTTCCATCAGAGTGAGAGTGCGAATCGTATCTCAGACAAGGTCTTTGCCAGCTTGACAGAGGCAGATTTGGGCCGTTGGGCTTTTGACACCGTAAAACAGAAAACTGAAACTATCTGAAACTGGGTCGATGTGGATGTATCCCAGCAAAACGGTGCACAAGCAGCTTCAAAAGGAATTCGCAAGACTCGGTGGTGATAGATATTCGTACTCAGAATGTTTGATGCTCTTCCAGAAGTTTGAGATTGCATATATAATATATACTAGAGCTGGAGGCCACCAACCAGAGGGGCTCTGAGTGATCCCAACACCAATTCTGGAAGTGATATGGCACGCAGCATGTTCTCCTCAAAGTAGACTTGCCTCATTGGCAAAGGGTCAAACAACTTATGCACAGTCTCTCCAGCTATAGACCATGTTTCAAAGCTGTTTGGTGGCTTCAAATGCGGAGTCTCAGAGTGCACCTGTCACCTGCCCCAGATGTAATGCTGACGCTTTAGTGGTTGCTGGCCTGTGATGGGTTACACTTTGAGACACAACATCTTCTGTATCCCACACCATGGCCCCAAGTTGGTTCAACAGTATGATTGAAGGTTGGATGGGTGGGCACCTCGGGAAGCCCAGTGAAGTCCAGCAGTTTACCACCGGTGAAATCCATTCTTTTAGGCTTCTCGATGTTCTTTTTAGGTTTGTTTAGGGTTAAAACCTATGGAAAATCCGGTTAAATCCGTCTTTTAAGGGATAACACCTATGGAATCCGCTCCCTTCCACGGCCCGTCCTCTGGGGCTTTCTCGTCCGCCAGACGTGAACACCGAAAAACCATGCGTCGTCACGGACGAAGACATTCGCCCACTGCAACCAGTGTTCTGGCAAGATGAGAACACTAGTTGCACTGTGGTTTCAGCCTACCTCGACAGCACCTGTAAGATCCTGTAAGATGTTGTGAGGAACAGGTCAAGGTGCTTCATCACTTTTCCAAAACGGTTTTCTCACCTAGCGTGAAGGTTGGTCAGGACCTCCAGCTTCTTGAGCCGGACCATGTCAACCCGTCCTTCTCAAAAAGCGGTGACCATGTCAGGATCTGCAGAAGTTTGGTACGCCCGTTTGGGAATGGCCCCATTTGCGTGAGAGCACCTTGGAGACCGGTGGAGTTCGGGGAGCAACATGAAGGGGGGAGAGACGGTGCCATGGATTCAGGCGTCGTTTTTGGGTGGTCAGAGGCACAAACTGGTACTTGCTAACAGAACAAAGGCTAAACAGGCATACTTTAATGGCACAACTGATTCAACTGATATACTGGAGATAGACGTGTGGAAACTCATCACACTTGTTCGATGCTCACAACTTCAATTCCATACTACTTGGAGAACAGTTCGTGGGACCATCCCTATCCTTGATAGCCGTTGCCGAAGCCGGAGGGGGAGCGGCTAGTTCTAGTCAGTGTCGCACACTCCAGGTGATTCGAGACATGGAGTATAGTTGTCAATTCAATTACCTGATTGATTGTTTGCATTTACCACCTGGTGGTGCCTTGGGGTCCTTCTTGACGAGGTTTCGGCTGCCATCCCAAACATCCGTTGGGAGTGCTAAGCCCTTCAGTATCGTTTTACTTATTTATAAAAGAAAGCAACAGTCGCACCGTGCTTTTTTTTGCAAAACCACATTCTCCAGCGAACCCGGTTTTGGGGGGCCGAAGCTTGCGAGATCTCGATGTGTCAAATCTGTGACGCTTTGCCAGTCCTTTAAAATCACCAAGTGCGGAGAAGAACCCATCGGAAAGCTAAAGCTGGGACACGCCGGGACTTTTGAGAGCGCTTCAAAAGAATGACGGACATATCTAATATATATATATATAGGGATATTATGATATATATATATATTAATATAGAATCACATAATAATCCCCCATGATATTCTGACTAGAAAATGGGAGGGGTTGACGTGTGTAGAAAACAGGCATTTTTTAGTCTCAAGGAGGTAAACTCACCGGGAAGGGGTCAGGTATGGCATTTTCTAGTGACATGTAACAATGTAGGTCACTAGAAAATGAGGAACACAGGTCTCATAGGCATGCTGGCAGGGTCATTTTTTAGACATCACCTTGTTTTCTTGATCCCACCGTGAGCCTCATTTTCTAGTGGGGTTCCTCATTGTCTAGTGGCTTTTGTTTCTCGACCAGCACCTGGTACACCCAAATCCTCAGACACTGCCATACCCTACCATTCCATATTTGGCACTCTGGCCAGAAATGGAAAGGTGGGGTATCCAGCCAGACCAATTCACTACAAGATGATGGGTTGTAGGTCTTTAGGGTGTGTTCCTCAATTTTCTAGTGGCTGTGGTGTTGTCTCGACCAACACCTGGTACATCCAAATCCTCAGACACTGCCATACACAGAGTTTGGTAGCTGTTGTTCAATCAACATGCTTTGTTTGCTTTTGGACGTCCTCACAACATTTAGATGATGTAGGAGAAAGCAGGATCAAAGCAGGACCCGCTAAAGAATCATAATCGCACGTCAAGGCACCAGAGCATTCACTAGAAAATGCCAAGCGCAGGCTCACAAAGAAGACGCACCAAGACGCGCCAATCACGGGTCCAAGAGGTGTGATTGACATTTGAAGTCATTTTCTAGTGATTCACTAGATTATGCCAATCACGGGTTCATGAAGCTGCGTTCCTCATTTTCTAGGGGGCTGACATTCATCATTCCCCAGGAAATCACTAAAGAATGGGTAGGACTGACCCCTCCATGTGATTTTCATGGGGGGTCACATATATATATATATATCATATCACAACATGTCCGCCTTAACTCAAAGATACTTTACTGTAGAAGTCAGAGTAGTCATTTCTAGAAATCACCATGTGAAAAGACGTTTTTCTTTCAAAACGTTTTTCCTCCTTCGTTTCGAATGGATCATTCTTCCCTATTTTTCCCACCCCCGGGTGTATGGCGGATTTGTCGCTCTCCTGTCCCTCCTCGCAGGTACCTTCTCCAACTCTTCGATCCATCGGAGTCAGACGGCTTTGGGATTGATCGACAAGCCGGTCGGGGCACCGAGCGCGGGGAGCGCGGAGCACGTGAGATGGAGATGTTGTGCCTGTGGCCCGTGTTGGTTGAAGCGCCTTTTGGTGGGAAACTAAAGCCAATTGTGGGGGTCGCGAGGTGCAACTTGGCGCAAGTTGGGGAACTTCAGTGGCTATGATATTACTTATTCAAGGGATGATCGAGTATCAGACTATGATGCGGGGCATGTTGGTTTCCATCAAAGATATGGGTGCATGAGAAGAAACACGACAGCGTAGCATGTCAGCGGTGAACCCAGTTGCCTCTGGTAAGTTTGAAATTGTTTGAAGGTAGACAAACCATCACCACCATCAAATTAAACTAGTGTATGCACATATAATCATATTATATATATATACAAACATGTGATATCCCATTGTTCCTGAGGTTTGGATGTGTTTCAAAAGTACAAACTGCAGTTTTTGCATTGCGGCGTGTCTAAAACATTGGACACTTCGGAGCAGAATTGTCCAGATCGGCATGAAAAGCAACATTGGTTTTCTTGCGTATCATTGTGAGCATTGGAACCGTGAATTGGACGTTCCTTCGTCTCTGAGGCAAGCGTGGAGTACAACGTGGTGCCTGCTCAGGCGCTCATGGAGCTCTTCCTAGCGGAGGAAGGTGCTTGTCGATGTCGATGTCGGGCATCAAAGCGGTTAGGAGCAGCCCTAACCAACATGATTCTTGTCATCCTTCCCTACAGAAAAGTCTACTCCGCAATCCTTGCCAACACAATCCTCTCAATCCTCAATCCTCTCCATCGAATCATTCCTCCACGCCCGACACCATCGCTCGCCTCGCGACGGCCTCAAGCGACATCGAGGCGACATCCACAAGCGGATCTTGGGCAGCAAACTGCTGAAGCCCTTCCACGCGGTGCGAGAGATCCTCCTCGCCGGCGACACCAACCGTCCCTAAACGGGTAAACATGGAAACAGAGGGAAACGGGGTAAATAGAGCACCCCGCTGCAAATGAACATGGAACCTGAGAATTGACCCGTGCTTGCGACGTCTTTCGACCAGTTTCCTCTACAACGGAGTGGTTGTGGGGTTCCTATTCATCTGCAGGGGAGTAACGCCTTCGGTCCGTGGTACGTTGATTCTGTAATGTTTTATGGCGGAATCATGTGGTGAGTATGCTTGAAGTCCACTATATATCATTATATATCTTATATCAATATGGAGTCAGACTGGGCAGTTCACCTGAAAGACGCAGATGCAGCATTTTTGGGACGTCTTCACAACTGTTTGAGCAACATCCCCCGTTCTTGCTTGGATGTGAAGCTTGCATTCCGCAGTACCTGCTATTTCCAGAAGTGGATGTGCCACTTTGAACAAGTGGCTGGCATCTCCTGACCGACGGCCACGGTCCTGACCAACCTTTGTCCGGCCGAGGCTTAGTCGCGGAGCTCACCTTTGTCCGTCACTGGGAGTGATGTGAACATCAGCAATTGGTAATGCCACGCGCTACGTACTAGTTAGATCTAGTTAGCCGCGTCCTTGCTATCGTAGGTAGCGATGCACCTTGCTACTAGTATAGCTTCTTGTTACTAGCAATTAGAAATGCCGGGAGCTACTAGTAGCTATTTGCTCCTAGTAGGAATGCCCCAAATGTTCCTAGCAGCTTCTTGTTACTCGTAGAAATGCCAGGAGCTACGTTCGTAGCGTTCTTGCTACTAGTAATACTAGTGGCGATGCCCTTCTTGACATGGATATTTAGTCATGTAGAGAGTTGATCATTGATGACTTGTTTATCGAACATTTAACAAACTACCTGGATTGTAGATATTGTAGAACATCTCCATGTGGGTGGTGTTATACCGGGTTCTTGAGCCCCCCCTATTTCAATGTTGTTGATTGAACTTGAACAGCTCTTGCAATGGTATGTTCTGAAGAACCCGGTATCAATCACCAGTCTACAAAACCAGACCACACGGCCCAAACACGTTCTTTTAGCGAAGGGTTTTCGTTTTCTTTTAGCGAAGGGTGTGGGCATAGGTTGTTGTTGCCGACCACAGTTTTATGCTTTGTTACATTGTTACCGGAGGATCCACAGGAGTTGACGCATGTTGACGCTCATCGGGGACGCAAAACGCGCTTTTTTCATGGCCGTGGGTCGTGGGTCATGTCACCGCAAAACATGCTTTTTTCTCCCAGAACCTGAGCTGAATAGACGACCTACAGGAGGTTAATGTACCAGTGTGAAACAGGGCTTCCGCGATGGCGGACCCTCCTTACACACCCGTTGGTTGTGAAACGGGTTTGTGAAGGTATCAGAAATGACATGCAGCCACGTGAGTCAACGTGATTTAGTCAGTAACCCTAGCGAAAGATAAGGACAACAACCACATCGGATAAGACCACATAAGGCCACCAAGGGGGGGTTTCACACACCGATTTTTGCTCCGTTCACAGCCGGTCCCGGCCACACCCAGGCATCAACGATCTGGCTGCGCCACCAGAGCCTTTGCACCCCTTGGTGCCGTGGAGGAAAGCACTGAGTGCAGCAGTTGAAACATGTTTGTTGTTGGTACACCTTTGTGAAGCAGAGGGTGCACCTCCTTGTTCGCTGATTCGACTGGGGACACAACTCAGGTGATTCTGGAGCCATTTGTGGCCGTGTTGATTGTGTGCAATGGAATCATGTCACTTGGCAAAGTGGAGTGCGGTTCCGATAAGTCACTTTGACAGCAACCAAATGTGTTGCATTGCTTTCGCCCAAAGACCACTGGGGTAGTGAGAATCGACCTTTTCTGTACTCCAAGATACTCCAAGCACCTTCACAGAAGGTTGGACCCTCCAACCCAGAAGGTTGGATTCTCCAAGCAGGTTTCAATCCAGTTCATGCTGTTCATCAACTGTGGATATCATGTGGATCCTTCTGGCGGGTTGCGGCACGAATGGCGGTCCTTAACGGGGTGACTCACCAGTCAAAGGTCACTGAGAGTTCACTCGTCAAGTCCTTAAGGTATTGATGTTCGAGAATATAAACACTGGTTTTGATTACTGTGGTAGTCTTTACTCTTGGGTAAAGTCCCTTCTACGGAATAGTTGGCTTATTTTCCCGGTTCCTTAAGCCTTAAGAAAATCCAAGAAACCCATGTTCAAAACCTTTAACAGTCAAGTGGTCGAGTCTGGTGGATGGAGTGGATGGCCGATGGCAGCACGTTGATGTAGAGAAGGCAGGTTGAGCGAGGCAGGAGTTGGCCAATGTAAAGTCATCACAGGATGTACGGACCCCAAGGGTTATAAGGGTTGTGAACAACATCATGTTGGATCCTTTTGGGAAGGATTCACATCTCGTCTGACGGATCCGGAAGGATATGCGAGTTCCCTCTCGTCATGTGAGTCCGTCGCCGTTGGCTATGGTGTCGGGCCCATGGAGGCGGACCGTTCGGTGCCCCCGAAAATGGTCACCGGCCGGTGTAGCTGGCGTAGCTCCATCCGGTGTCCACGGGGTGTAGCTCAACCAACCCCGGACAGAAAGTACAGCGAAGGCCCAGGCGATCAGGTCTTTTTTGCTGGAGTAGAGTCGATTTGGTGGGTTGGATTCTGCCTCAGAAATGCATGAATTGCTGTTGATGGGTCCAGATTGGTCAGAAAGCCCTTTCATGCAAAGGCTATAATTATATATATATATATATTATGTATACATATAGGTACTGTGGACGACCCAACCACCTTCAGTCCCCCACCATTCAGATCTTAGAAAGATTCCGCCCGGGCTTTTCCGTGGCCTTTGCCCTCGTTTTGGTCAACCCGAGCCCCGAGTCGGGAAGGATTGGCTTTCAGACGGACCCCGCGTGGGCAGACTGGGAGGGCTGGGGGCCCATGGATGCTCGGATATGCTCGGTGCATGTTGGGCGGGCTCCAAGCACAACTGGGTTCCAGGGCAGTGTCATGCTCGGAAGAGCTGGCAGCGAACGTTTCGTGGACCCGACCCAAACTCTCAGAAAGGATGTCCAAGTGTCGTAAGATCAACAGAAGCAGCAATTTCCGACCCTCCTGGAACAAGGTGCCGTTGTTAAGGACCCTGGAGTTTCCAGCCACTTTGTGTAGGGAGTGAGATTTCAGGGGTCACTAATGACGCTGGCAACCATCATTCATCTACATGGTAGGTGCGTTTTGGCCAGACGGGTCCGAGCAAGCTGCCGGTGGGCGGCACGACTTAAACATGCGCAGGTGTTTTGTGTTTTTTTTGTGTACTGTAGCTCCAGGTAGCAGCCTTTTGCGGTCCCTCCCGAAAACTAACATGGAACCTGAAAATTGACCTTTGGCAAACTGTTTTCCCCTACAACCCCGTGGTTTTCAGGTTCCATGTTGATCTTCCCGGGTGTAAGGTATTCCCATCAATGCATTGAGAAGAACAAAGATGTCAGACTTGGACTCCTTGTTCAAACGAGTTTAAACGTTTACAAAAGCGACCTTTGAATTGTTTGGCTCAATTGGGCTCCTTCCATGCTCCGAAACCTGCACCCCAAATGAGTTGCCACGAACGTTTCTTTCCCTCCGGAATGAACGTGGCGCTGAATGTATTCCTGGACCATCCTGTGTTGGGTGTCCTGGCTGGAGATCCCAAAGATTTGGACACCTGTCGATAGGAGGGTCCGACGGTTTGCTCGTTTTGGACAAAGAAATCACCTGGAATTACCTGGATACCTCACTGAGCCTTTTGTGGAGCAGCGGCCACCTCCCGACATGAATGTGTTCACTCAGGAGGCGGTCTTTGCCAGTTTTCTGGTGCTGGAGATCTTGACCCGGATGCATTTGCTGGGCTGCCGTGGTTTCTGGTGCTGGGTTTGCAAGTGTGGGGATTGGACAGCAAGGCGGGACGTTCTGATGGTCGGGAGAGAGCCAAAAAACAATATGTTCACAACTGGTGCCCTCAGACCAGTCGTGAGTATTTGTTGCATAGGATTTTTGTTACTACTGTGTATATATATACAGTATATATCTCATTCAGTTTGATTATAAGAACACTAACCCACTGGTCAACTGCCGGAGTTCACTGCTCCAGTCAGTGAGATAAGTTGGGCTTTGTCTTGGGACGTGTAGGGTTGCGCTAGATGGTTTTAGGGGCGTTGTTGTAGTAAATCTGTCAAGGATGATTCAAGGATGTTGTGAGAACTTTGTTGATGTGTCATGTGGCTGGAGGGATCCATCCATGTCCCCAATCTGACCTGCTGTACACCTGCCAGAATGTAGCCACATTTGGAAACCGTTTGCAGGGAAAACCCTCGTGTGGGACAAGGGTGGAAACAAGACCACGTGCCCCCTCCAATGGTCTGTATGGTGTTCACAGACTTAACCTGTACACTGTACACGCTGACCCATAGGGTTTTCATCATCAAGATCCAATCCACCAGGCTAAGCCAAAAAAAGGAAGGGACATGATGGCTATGTGAAATCAGTCATTGGCCTGGGAGGAAGTGCAGGTGCAGCTAAAAAGTTGCCAGGGATTGCACGATCATCTATCCAGATTAACAATAATTTGTGCTTTTGCACAAGAGTCACTAGCGATTGCTAATGGCTTTCTCATCCCACTATTATGTCCTGGGTCGATGGTGACACCTGGTTCTTTGTTGGCTTCTTTGCGGCGCTGTTCGAGAAGTTGCGGACAAATGCAAAAGCTGAAAGCCCAGCAGTCAATGCGAAACAGCATCATTGGCACACAGTGGTTAAGTTCTTTTCACCTAAATACTACTAACCAAGCACATTTTGCCTGTCTAAGCCTGCAATCGCATTGACAGCTGGGCCCTGTAGGCCCTGTTCTTCTCTTCGAACCCCCCATACCTCATAGCCTCATCGGAGGTTTCAAACATCGGGGCTTATCGTGGCTCTTTGATGAGCCCTTCAGGACTACATGGAGCAGACAGACTAAGGTGGACTGTTGATTGGCAACCCCCCTACCAGACTGGCTTTACATCTCCATATGGGGAAGTCATGAATCAACCGTCTACATTCAGTTCACAAACGCTAGAGATAGGTGATATATACCTAGAACCTGATTGACCTCTGTTTTGGAGCCAAAGCATTGTCTTTTCCTATCAAAACAGAGGTCAAATCTGTTCTGATTCTAGGTAATTATATATATAATATAGATATTATATATATAGAGAGCGGCGGACCGTCCCAGGTGGGGTGAAGAAACCAGCTGGATGCTCGGACCGCACAAAGTTGGGCCGCTGGTGGCCTCCAGCTGCGAGGGTTCCCTCGAGGGTTTGGGCGGACAAGCAAAAAACAACTTTGCTAAGCGCAGTTTGGGCCGTTTTCCAGCGAAGAGACTAAGCTGGGCCATGCTGGACCATGAGTGTTTCTCTGCCGTTCCTAGCGGTGGTTCGGGTAAGCAAAAAGGCCAGGACATATTGGGAAGGGGATAGTCCTGAAATCTTTGGTGCAAGAAAACTAAGAACTGCATGGATCTGTCGAATGAACCTTGGTGCACCCTGACTGAAGAAGTATGCCACATGGCTCGAGATGACCCAAAACATGCTAGGAGGGACTGGACATTCCCTCATTCAGAGGGTCCAGGATCACTCGGAGGATGCATTTTAGACTTGATCATTCTTTGATACTATATAATTACGCGGAGCTGCATCGGACCGGATGGGCAAAGGGGGGTTTCTCCGACCAAGTGCGGTCACCGAAATCAAAGAGGTCGGAGAACCTCGCGATGGAGCGCTCGGCGCTTGGGGAACAAGAACCTAGCACACCTGGGTCTCTGCCGTAGCTCCGTCGCCGGGGAACGGGTTTGATGCCATGAAGAGGGGTTCTCCAGCCAGTTTTCGAAAGCTGTGTGGATATATATATATTTATGCATATATATATGTGGATCTAACCATGCCTTATAAAGGCTTCATTCTATATACCCAAGCCGTGTCTTGTGGGTGACCCTATGTGACCCCGCGTCGGACACCTAAAGCGCTTTGAATTGTAATGGATCAAAATGAGAGATAGTGACTAGTAAAGTCATCAAGAGCAGAGAATTCAGTAGACAATTCATCAAATATGTTTCAGGAGAAAAGTTATCAACAGTAGAGATTTTAAGGGGAAAGGCATCGAAAGTAGAGATTTTGACTATAGACAAGTGCATCAAAAGTAGAGATTCTTACTAGAAAAGTCCTTAAACAACATAATGTTATACATATTTTCAATAGATAAGTCATAAAAAGTCGAGATTTCGATAAGAGGATGGGGTTACATGTCGACAGGCAGGATATCCAGGTTTATTGTTGTTTAAGTTAGATTGGTTTGATGGTGTCTCAGACCTTGGATGATGAGCCGGCAGCTGCTTTGGTCTGACTTTGTTCAGCAGTTGCACTTCGAGTCTTCATGTTTCAACACTCGAGGAACTTCTTCGATCTCTTTCTGGCCATGACGGGCTGTGTGGACATCATCGCTTCGCTGGCATGTTTGGGTGTGCATCAATACCCACAAAGGTCTCAGGTGGACTGCAGGTCCTGATGTTGGGTGGTCCGACTGCGGCTGGTGGGGCATGCCGCACGGCACCCATGAAAACTGTCTGACACCGCAAGCGAGAGAGAGCTTCTCGCGGATCGGGTGATGTCTATATTTGTTCCCGGGTGAATCCGCCTGGGGAAGAACTGACGGCTCGCCTCAAATGAAAAGCCTTGGACTCTTCCATTTCTTGGGCGCGAAAGTCAAGGAACGTATGCTGCATGTTTTTGCATGCACTCACCAGATCGCTGTGGATCGGTCCAGTCCGGGCCAATTCACAGGTTTACCGGTTTGTTCCTGAAGCAGTGGAGTTCATGAGGCTACAGAGTCTGCAAACAAATTAAACCCAGCATGCTGCATGCTTCCAAAAACCAGAAACATAGGAATATTGGATTTGAGAGGCCAAAAACGTTTTTTTGTTTTTTTTTACTTTGTCAATCATTGAATCAACCCGCCCCTGGATCCAAGTCATGGTTTCAGTCAGGGTTTTCTTGGCCTATGAGTCTATGGTTGATATGTGTTGACAGACACAAGTGACCTCTGGAGTTCAAGCTGGACATACTGGGCAATGCTGGCATGTTGTGATGTTGTGGTGTGCAACGTCGTGAAAGGTGCATCGTTCTTCGAACCTTCAGGCCGCGTCCCAGGCCGCCCGAAAGGGCCATGTCACGCTGCTTGCCACGCCAGGTGCAACAAGTGGGGCAAATGGACTCCGGGATCTTCGGGACCTCGTTGCTCAGGCGGCCCGACGGACGACCCCGCACGGCCGGTCGTTGTCGTTGGCCGACGTGGAGGCGAGGACCAGGTCGGGCGAGCTAAGCAGCAGGGAAGCTCCCTATGGATCCGACCACCTTCATAACCCGATTGTGATCGGACCGCTTGGACGGCTAGGAGCTGTTGATGTCCGTGGGAACCGTTTCAGATGGTTTGGAAGCGGGGGCCAGTCGTGCTGTTCATTTGGTACTGTACCTTGTCGTCCTCACGAGGATGCCCGGCGGCAGTTTGGTTTGCCGGGGTGTTCTGATGTGGTTGAGCTATAGGATCAAGTTAAATGGAGGTTTTGTGAGGAGTGTGTGGTTCAAGCTTTCATCGCGTTCATTCTTTCACACACATCCCATATCCATATCCATATCCATATCCTACGATGTAATGATTTTGATTTTGGTGACTTTCCTGTTGCTGACGTTGACATACACACACATACTCACCATGACAGAAAGAATGCCGGGCTGTGCTTCAATATCTTCAATGGAACATGTATTCTAAATGATATGCATGCTGCGTCTCAGTCCGGGCAGCAAGACCCTTGTGCCTGAAGAGGAAGCTTCATGACTAGAAGAGGAACTCATCCACCCAGCTCCAAGAATCTGAAGCAGCTTCAGGCGGCTTCAGTTTTTATTTTGTTTGTGACCAGAGCGTTGTTTTCCAGCCCCATGTTCCCTTGATTCTGCAGCCCTGTGTCGGTGGTAAAAACATGGCCTGAGTTGTGCAGCCCTTTGCTTGTAACTGCCCGCTTATATAAGGGGAGTTGCTTCTTTCCAAGAGTCTAAGGTCTACGGGAGCTTGTGATGTCTCTTAAAAAAAGGGACCATACAATCAATTCAATGTTTCTCTACAAAAGCTCATGACATAGACATAGACGGCCGTTGGCGTTTGTGCCGGCAACTCTGGAGCTGGGCACGGAGTTTTGTCCTTGAGGTTTTTCTTGATTTTCGCTCCGCGAAGCACCACGCCTAAACAGAAAGGGATTACTTTTCAGGACTTTTGGAGTATAGTGGTCCCCAAGCAGATGGAGACGGTTTCCAAGACATTCTGAATGTGGGGGTCTACTTTTCTATCGACGGTCTTTTTACAACCCAGTTGGGTCCTTCTTCTTCGCAGCACCTCTGGTCGGTCGGGAGGTTTTGTCGCTTGATCCGATTGGTGCGCATCGTCAAGGTCTTTAGGCCGGCGTACTGGGGGGGTGGAGACGGGTGAAAGTGGAGACGGGTGAAAAGGGCGTTTGAATATACATATATATGTGTGTGTGTGTTGTTTTCTTAAAAGCAACAACAACAACAACTTTTTCGAGAGGTTTTTTGGGTGGAGATATGGTTTGTGTGTCAGACGGGCAGGTGTGTCCCATGTTCTGAGCTGCTTCTAAGAAGATTCAATGGGTTGCTTGGCTTCTAGGAACATCAGAAACACACACCTAGTTGGAATCCATCATCCACCCTGATCATTTGGGGCGCGGAGAGGCTCCGACCCAGACTGCAGACCCCGACGCAGGCTTAAGGCTATGAGGGACCTCCGGCTTATGGTGAAGGGTCTCATCGCTGGCATCCGTCCCTCGGGCTTCCGGTTCCAGCACGCCGTGGGCGCAACAGCACGCCTCGGGTATGAGTGGGGACACACCTCCAGGGCACGAAGCAACGTGAGAGGGACATACTACGCTTGGGAAACTTGGGGAAAAGTATGGAGTCGGTTCGACTCATTATGTTTGACTTGGTGGTATCTGCCCAAAAGGCAATCTGCTGGTACCGAGTAACTCTGTGTAAATTTCCGTACTAAGGAAATTGACGTAGAGTTGCTTGGTGCCAGCAGATTCAACATGAATCATTGTACGAATGATACACACTTAGACTGCTTCTGACTGGCCCCGCTAAACACGTTCAACCGGTTGCCCCGTTTCACACGGAACAACGTGTTGGGCCCCGCATGGCCCCGCATGGCCACGTGGTCCGTCGCAGAACGTGACGGACCGGGACGGAGAGACCGAGAAAAGGCTAGGGCCCAGGGGTGAGTTTTTGGGGGGTCAAGGTAGGCCTGGCAGTCCCAGACAGGTGGTGTCTGGGAATTGTAACCAACATGCCCTGACACTCCATGGGACTGCCATATATGCCTACCATGCCTCGGCATATATGGCAGTCCCAGTGGCAGTCCCAGGCCTAGTCGTGTTTGGGATGGTTCGTTGCGTCAGTCCCACCGCGACAGTCCAGTCGTTTTCAGCGTGGCAACGTCGACGGCGAGGGCGAACGAGCACACGAAGCCCGTGAGATCGGACGCGAGGTCCGGTGCTGTGGTTCGTTGTTCTGGTCTGTTCTGGTATGTTTTGGTTCATATGTAATAGATTGTAATACCTAGAACCTCGGGAAAGGCAATCATTTGGGAAAGGCCACCCATAAAAGGCATCGATCTAATGAACAACCCATTTTTGCAAAGAAGAGGTTCTAGGCGTCTGGCGTCTTACATGTCTTTTCATGGCGTCTTCTGACCATTCAATTGTTCACCCCATGAACTTTTCACTATCACTAGCATGATTCTGAAGTCTTTGGGGCAGGCCTTTCCCTGCCCTTTTGGACCTCCATGTCTCTGCCGCCCCAAACATGACACATTTACGGTGTGGGTTTCATGCCCTTCTCAGATTTCGAGATTCTGGAGTAGCATGCCGGGGCAAGCTCCATCATTTGGCCTATTAAATGCTTCTGGATGGGATTCTAACATAAAACTCGTAAAACCTCTTCTGCCTCGGGGGGTTCCAAACGGAATCGTACGAGTCGAATCACCAGGGATTCGAATGATCACTCAGCTTTGCTCGGCTAAAGCTCGCATCAAACTCCATGACTCCATGACCCTGGACCCATGAGCCTTCGTCAGCTCACATCACACTGTAGAACACCAATCCATGGAATTCGATAGAATCTGTTGCCATCTGCCTACATTCACCCCCCTTCTTCAAAGACCCCAGCCATCCCCAGCCCTATTGGATGTTGTTTTGTTGCTTTACTTCTTAAATCAATTGCCGTGGCCGCGGCCTTGTACTATCTTGTACTGGTCGTGCATCCGATCTCCGCTCGATGAGTTTGGAGTTTGCGACCTGCTCAGGAACCTTGATACTGGCTTTCACGCTTCTGTTCTCCGTGCTCTATGCCGCTCGTTTGAGCAGATGAACAAGTGAGATACCATGAGATATCTGGAGGAACGGTTTTCAGAGTGGAGTCAGAAGGTGCATGGTTGCTTTTATCCTTCCAAAGAAGACACATTTAGGAGAATTGTAGACTCTTGGTTCGTGGAGGATCATGTCTTCAGGACGGGCTATTTTCCACAAAATGCCTTTTCACAAACTTTGACGTATTGCGACAATATTGTGTGAAACCTTCCAAATATGTTTTCCCGGCCCCGGCTGCCTTTTTTTCTCAGAAGTGGCTCATCACGTGTGATCTTAGGTGATTTCCGGCTTTGCTACCATGACCATTGGGAGCTATCCGGAGATGCTTGGTGATCTATATATATATAACATCCATCCTGGCATGACCCCTTTGTTCACTCTTCACTCCCCTCAGCGGCGGGATGAGGGGGTATGCAATATCTCTGTATGTGCTCATGGTCAATGAATCAGCTAAGCCTGTTGATTGTTGACCCTCCAACGACGGTAAACACCGCTGGTGTGGGAGACCAACAAAGGATTTGGAGACCCCGATGGGTTTCATGATGTTTCATTGCATTTTCTTCGAGGTCGGGAGCAGAGGACGGTGAAATCCCCGACCTCTCACGGTCTGTTTCAAGACATAGGAGTGTGTGATCCCCATGCACCGACCCCAGGGGGATTTTGTTTTTGCCTGGTCTCTGTACCCAGGCGGGGAATTTTTCCCAAGACATGCCCATTTGGATCCGGAAAAAGAAACAACACAGCGCACAGAAAAATGGGCACGGCGTTGAAGGTCGCAGATGGTCCCACCACGCCCATCTTTTGCATCCAGCGCTGGACAAATCCACAGGATACCATGGATACCGTGCGTTTCAGGACCAAAGATTTACAGCTGGATGGATATTTCAAGTCCCTGCCCCACTCCATGTTCACAGCGTTCCGTTGCTTCACTGGTGAGTGCGTCACTTGGTGAAGACCCGGCGGTACGGAGGACTAAACGATTGGTCGCGGGCGAGTCGCCATGCGACAGCAGCACTTCTTTGGGCCAACGAGAGCTAATAAGCCATTGTGGAACTTGTCATTGTTGGTGGTAATTCCAATGCTCATCATTGATTGATCATTCTTTGCAGATCCCGGGTGGTGACAAGAGGCACCCTTTTGTAACCTTTCTGGGACTTTTCATGGTGATTGCAACAGTGCTGATGTATGTTTCTCCAACACGCACGAGATCCACTTTTTTGGCGGATCTTAATAACAGTTGGCAATCAATTGTTCGGCAAAATCAATTCACACAATTACTAGGACGCAAGTGTTCTTACGTCCTGGTAGATTAGGGGCCCTCGACCTTCAAACAATGGTTGCCCTGGTTGCCATCAAGATCCACCGGACACATCGAGTCCCTCGAGATCTGAGCACCTTCTTCAAGGATCGAACCAGTTCTCATCACATTACACACCTCTGAGACCCTACACCGGAGTCTTCATAAAGCCAAACGCGGAAAACTCCGATCTCACCAACGGTGGAGCTTGGATTGATTGGTCCCCAGAACCGATGATATCCGATGATCAGGCCGGGCTTGTAGACTGCACTAAAATCTAACAGGTAGCTTCTTGTTACTAGTAGCGATGCCAGGAGCCCCTAGTAGCTTCTTGTTACTAGTAGCGATGCCCTTTGTTCCTAGTAGCTTCTCGTTACTGGTAGCAATGCCAGGAGCTACTGTCATTTTCAACAAACACTGGGGTGTCAGGCACCCGTCACTGCTACCGGACCTTCCCATCTTCCCGAAGTCAACTTCAGGCGAGTCCTGATAGCACCAAGCGAGCTCTTGGCTGGTTGGTGTTACTCCACGTCCGCAGCTAAGGTCAACAACGAGGGACATTCCATCACCTCCAAAATGTCCCAGGAGTATGGTTTGTTCTTTGAACTGCCTTATGTCATGAGCCACTGGGCTGCCAGTGCCACACGAACACCTGAAAAAAGATCATTCTGTGAAGGATGGACTGGCAGTGAGGGGAAAGCAGTGGAGAGGTACTCACTCATCAAAACTGAGGGAAGGAACCTTTCAGTGCATGTCACACAGTATTTGGTTTCAGTTGCACAATTGAGGTCCGTGGACCCATGACCGATGGATTTGAGACACACCTTCGGAAAAGGGCGCTCACTGTAAGGAACCGCTAGAATCGCTCAGACCGTTTTTCGTAAACTATAATACAGTGAGGCCAGAGTGGCCAAAAAGACAGAATCTACAGGCAGACACAGATATCATTTATACGGATCATCACGGATCCCTGGTGCAATGACCACAACAATGGACCCTATCACTTGGATGATTGGCGTGGCTGGCTGGCGTGACGTACATATGGGCTGGTATAATAACCCCGCGCTCAGCGGTTTAGTATTGGCATGCACCTCAACACTACTAATGCATTCCTACCCCAGAAAACGAATGATTATACCTGCACATTCAGAACAAAAAGCTACTAGGGGCTCCTGGCCTTACTACTAGGAACAAGAAGCTACTAGGGACTCCTGGCCTTACTACTAAGAACAAGAACAAGAAGCTACTAGGGGCTCCTTGCCTTACTACAAAGCAACAAGCAGCTACTATACCAGGAACAAGAAGCTCTTAGGGCTCCTGGCCTCACTACTAGGAACTGAATGGGCTGTTTGGTCCATATGCTGCAGCTGTTTACACGAACCACGAAAATGGCAACCTGCAGAGGTGTCCGGAACGATAACAAAACGAGAACGAAAACGATAAGGAAATGTAGCAAAAATCAGCCCTGGTGGGCAAGTACCCATTTGACTGTTTTCATTAGACCTTTTGAAGGGCAGAAGTGTGCGATGTGGTAGTCTTGTTTAGCTGTCTATATCTTATCTTTGCTGCTGCCATGTCTTTACCACCAAAGACGGTGTACGCCTTGCTACAGGCAGTGCTACGGGATCCTGAAGTAGGACCATGTAGACCACCAAATGACATCTTTTGATTTGTGATCTTCCACCAAAAATGCTTTCACCTGAGAAAACGATAAGAGTAAAAAAGGATAACATGGTTTCGAGTTATTGCAAAAGACACGGGGTTTCTACACTACCCCATATACTTACTTATATATATACAGCTGCGCATTACAATAAGGGAACCTCCCGAAGACTCCCTGAAAGATAGGAAATAGACCAAAAACCCTTTGGTTGGGGTCTCCCTATTAAAATACACGCCCATATATGGCTAGTTTCGTCATGGCACCTCCCTAACCAAACCATGGTAGCTTGTCACCCCGAACATCGAGGAATCCGTTCCTTTTCGGTGGTCAACCGGAGTGCCCGGGGGCCATGACACCCATTGACACCCATCGACCCACATATATATATATATATACACATAAATATACCCTAATGGGTCCAAGTACCGAGCCTCAGAAGGTGAGGAAGGAGACACTGTCATGAGACAATGCCATTGTCGGGTCCAGTCGTACCGAACCTGAGAAGGTATGTGGATCCCTAGGGATATATATATAATATTGTATGTACAATATACCAGGACCATCCAATGGGTCACGAATGGACAACCCTCCATCACTTAGGGATCTCCAATTGGACGCCCATTGGATGGTCCAGGTGTGTACACGTCGTAAATGCGTCAATTTCTGGACCAAGTAGAACAATACTAACCAAAATTCATTTATTTCCCCTCTGGGCCCTACCTTCGAATTGGTCCGAGCTGGGAGCCCGATAGTCAGAGGTTCCTGCGCTGTTTTGATCACTAGAATCAATGTTGTTTGACCATCCACTGGAATCCTTGGACAAGTCCCACTGGAGCATGGCCGGTTTTCAGGCTACATGCTCGTGAGCATGGGTATTTTCAATGTCATTTTGGCAGCTTGGCACATGGAGCAGTGCCCTTTTGTTTTTCGCCGGGTCATGTCCCCGCCGACTCTTCTGTGTGACAGGATTATGTCGAAACGACGCATGCAACATGAAACATATTTTCAACGGTCTCCACTACACCAAGGATTTGTCACTCATATTGTGATAACTCTGAGCAAATCACTCTGGCAGCTCTTGGGGGGTAAGGTGTCGCGCATGAAAACACATAGCCTTTGCCAAGCCTGAAACACTGGAAAGAAGACCAACATCCTGAATCATACTGTAGTGTAGGCTTTGTGTTGTTGGACTTTTGATGCATCCTGAATCCGGTATAACATCTTATAGGTTGCTTTGGGCTCAGGTGTCATGCGGTTTGAAAGATTTGAGGTGTCATTGCGGTGAAGGTCCAAGGTTGCTTTGTCCAATCTCTCATCAAGTTTCCCTGATGACAAATAATGTGGGTCAACGCTAGACACCCCAAAACATGGGCTGGTCACATCCCTGGTGGCCCAGCTGGGCTCATTTTCATTGGCCAACCAGGGTCCAACCAGGTGCCAATTACGGCATCACGACCAAGCATGGGCTGTGAATTTGGCAGACCGACACAATAGAACTATAGAACTAGTTCTAATTCTCAGAACCAGGTCCAGGTGATGCCTTTTTCCCCTTTTTTTGATATAACCAGAGATTCTCGCCCCAAGTATGGCTCATGACGCTCAAGCGACATCCTGTCACAACTTCTAAAAAGCTCCTCACCCTCCTAACCTCTCCCATCCGCCAAGGCCGTGTATGTGGACATCACCATGAAAGCGGCGAAGGACCGACGTGCCGCTGAAACAGCGGCGAAGATGTGGTTCTTCGGATCTGTGGTCGGTGTGCGTGCCATGACAGACATATCGAGTATTTAGAAGACCGACAGATGTCAAGGACATTACCAGAAATAAGATGAAATGCTGTATATGTTCCAAATTTGTGGTCCTCCCTAATTTCTGAGAAGGATTCCTTGGTGTCCCTTTCATTCTTACAAGTTGCTTCAGCTCATCAAACGCGGGCCGCGGGTGCTTTTTGAGGAGAATGAAGCGCAGACGGCCGAGCAGCACGCGCGGGAATCCATTCGCATTGCTAGAACCACCCGAGAGCTGCTGAAGAAGTTTGCTGCGGCCTATCACCTGCCACCGGGCCATCACAGCGAGATAAACAGGCACTAGTATATAGTAATTTAGAAACATATTTGAATTTGCATAAACAAAGTTTGCTATTTTGTGTTATATTTGTTGGGGGGTCGAAGAAAGAAATCATCAAAACATGTGGGAGAAGAACCTGTCTTGCATTGCAATCGGTTGAATCAGCTCATTTTGGTGTGGGGTCCTGGCAGATCCATGGCCAAGTTATAAGTGGGGCAGTCGTTGACCCAGGGCTTTTTAAGAAATATAGTGATTGACTCATGGCTGTTCCAGGGTCCATGTCTCTTTCCGGGGCAGAGTCGGAGGGTCGGAGCTTTTAAGAGACGGATTTGTTGCCCAGCCTCTCATCCTGCTTAGCCTCGCGTCGCAAACAACCGCACGAAGACGCACACAGGTTTGCCCCAAGTGCCGAAAGATTGAGTGTCCGAGTGACCAGTCTCGAACCAGAAAAATCACGCGCAGACGTCACCTCAAACGTGGGAGTGGGCTGAACACTGAAAGATGGAGTTCCCTTTGTATGAGTCACAATTCAGTGCTTCAATTATTTCCCTTTGCCAGTTTCTCTTCTTTCCAGAGAATTATATCAGTGTGGCAGGTCCTGAATGATAAAATATGATCAATTATTTGAGAACAAACAGACACCCCAGTTCTCCTACCTACTTCCCGGTTGCTCCGACTCGTCGTTGGTCCGTTCTTTTTTTTGCGAACACGCGAGTTTCGCGAAAACGGGACGCGAAGCCGCAGGGCTCGGTGGGTCGAAAACGACGGTCGTTCGCCGTGTTCGCCGAGGTACCAAGAGATGGAAGAGAACAGCACGACGGATCGCTTGGAGATTCGAGCATCTGCAGCACTCTTCACTGATGATGAGCTACAGGAAAACATCGCACCTGGGCCGTACTTACTTGGTATGTGGAAGAATCTGTCCACTTGAAACCGAGAAAGGACGTGGAGTTCCGAAGTCAACAATCCATATTATACTGATTTATACTGTATGTATATATATTATATACACACCTAGAACCTAAGCGACCCTTGTTACTTTTGGATCATCAACTATCCAAAATATGGTCCTTGTCTATCAAAAGCCGACGTCATGTCTGGGTTCTAGGTAGACATATTTTTATGGTTGTCTCCAAGTCCAAGTCCCTCACACACACACACCCCAGACATATCCGGAGATCCTTGGGTATTCAGAACAATCCTTGAACATCTGCGGAATTGAACGGGCCGATTAGTTTCGTTTGGTTTCTCGGCAAAAGCAGGTGTGTTCTTTTTGTTGTGGCCTTTTGATGGTGACATAGGTGGAGATATACAGTGGGTGGAGATTCGATGAGATTCGTTGCTAGGATGATATCCACACAGGTTGAATATTATAGGTTGATGTCAGTGGTACAGTTAAACACAACTACTGTAGGTGGATTGATATGCAGTCATGTTCAGTCCAAGTGTCAAAAGATGGCACTGGACACAATCTCTTGCAGCTTCTTGGGAGACAAGCATAGAGACCTGAATATTTGGTCAATGACAATTTTACAGTGCTCAACAAATGCCGGACTTTGATGCCACACAAGACTCCACAAATCTCTACAGAAACTTGCCAAACAGTGAAGTAGTATTGATCTAAAGGCAATCCATAAGTTGAATCTGTAAATAGGAATATATAGGAAAATGTATTTTTGGCCATGGTTGCTGATTGGAATTTCTCGCATAGTCAGCAATGTAATGGTGGTTTACCTGGCCTGCCCATGTCTAATGGAACAACACAAATGGGACCTGACCGTTGTTCGAACGGACCCCCTGCATCGTCGGAGCTCTTTGTTCGTTGGAGCTAGGCAGCTAGCTGTACCTGGTGAAGCTGTAAGCCTTGCATTGTTGTAATATGTTGTAATTGTAATGGTCATGAATGAACGATACACAGATCGACATGTGAACAACAAGGTTATTTTTTTTTTTGGGGGGGGGGTCTTGGTAAACATTATGTTTGGTTCTTTATGGTGGTTTTGTTCTTTTCTTTTACCCTACGCAAGCTTTCCATGTACCTTGAGTTCCCAGGAAATCACCAAGGAGTTGTTCTTGCGGCTCAGTCGCAAAAAGAGCCGAGCCTTTTGGTTGTTTTGTTGACGGCAAATGTGTTGAGTGGATGACAAGTATGTAAACGGCTGTGTGAGTATGTGTTGAGTGGGTGTGTTGATGTATTGAACATTAAAATTGTTGAACTGCCAGGTGACATTGATCTTGGAACATATTTTGAGGTTACCTTTATATACCTGTATCTTGAGATCATTGTGTGGGGCCATTGCTTGGAAGTGTTGTGTTGCTCTCAACGTGTTTCTATCACTGTAGTGATTCCTTTTGTGCACAGCCCAGTATCGGTTCAGTATTGGATCATTTGGATCTCATTGACCTTCATCCAATTTACTGTAGTTTGTTCTTTTTGTCAACGTACATCGAAATAATTTGAATAATATTAAGACCAAGAGCTGATCTGGGGTGGACCAGATCAAGTGATCTTCAAGTAGCCGGACGCACGATATTGCAACAAACTTTCTTTTTCATTGCAGCAACCTTGACAGGGCAAGCCCAGCAATGTCAGGTGTATATAGGAAGATGCTTGTCGTGCGTTCTTGTTTCTATTGGATACCTTAGACAGATCAAGCGACCCTTAGACAGGCCTGGATGAGAGTACTCAGTAGTGCGGACTCAAGCCCTACCCACAGTCGGCACAGGTTTGTGATTCATGTTTAGAAGACACCTAACCTGGAAGAGAAACATGTCCTCAACCTGAAACACTGATTTCCCAAAAAGTAACAGTCGACGAGCAGGAGAATTCCTTTTCATTTGCAGAGTTCTCGATACTATTCTTCGTAGGCCTTCAGTCGCTTTGCCTTCGTCACCTTCGCGTCCTTTTTCCCTTTTCCCTCTTCATCTCTTCGCTTTATGTTCGCTTGATGTCCAAGGCTAGTGATCCAGGACCGGGACGTGCAGATGTTAATGGACGACTTAGATCTGCCTCCGGATCGGGCCAACCTCTTCGAGCGCCTCGGAACTGCGGGTCCCGCGGTCGCCGATGTCGTGCCGCGCCGATGGATGCGGATGGATCATGTGTTTTTGTTAGACAATCGTCAAGGTTGAGCTTGGGATGTTCGCTTCTCGCATACCATGTAATAGAGTATTACTCTTGAAGATAGCTACTGCAAAAGGCATGTCACATGTGCAGACCCCCCAGGCAACTAGATTGTTTTTGTTGGCTCCAGGACTCCAGCACAGCGTAAACACGCCCTCCTGTTGCAAGCCCACACTGCTGTGCCTTGATACATTTTGTCGGCAAGCAAATTGATCGACATTTGAGAGCTGTTGGGTTGTCTTGGGGGTATTGAGGTTTGTAAGTATGGGTTTCTTGTGATAAGCTCGACGCTCAACAGTCTGGGACTCGAAACCGTTCTGCTGTGCATGAAAGAGTTGCAGTCTCACACACACGGTTTTTCAAGGATTGGCTGGTGGATCTTAAGTCAGAAACACTAGGTGGAAAGCCTAGCAGGATCTAGCAGGTGCATGTCTTCAATTCCTTCAATTTATTCCATGTTTCTTTGCTTGGCATCATCTAGCATGAGGGCTGGAAAATGCTCTGGACTGTGTTCTGACGTCCTTGTTGGCATGTGTTCTGACATTTGTCCTGCCGTGAAGTCTGACATGTTGTGTGACATATGGTCTGGCTTCGGTTCTGACATGAGTTCTGTCATGTGCCCTGCCATGTGCTCCGACCTTTGTTCTGCCATCAAAATTGCCACTTGTTCCGACATATGCTCTGATATAGTTTGTGACATGATTTATGTTATATCAATGTATGTAATTATGTGATTTGGCACTCTATTTTGCAAATATGCTGACATCAACACCGGTGTATCTTCTGACATCCATTCTTGCTTACCTTCTGGCATTTTGTCTGACAATCGTTCCGGCAAGCTATCTGGCATATCTTCCGGCATTATTTTTATCAAACACTCATTAGCTACTTCCTTTCTGGCACTCAACCAAGCATATCTCCAGGCAATAAAGATAATAAAGCGGGCATATTTTGTGGCACTCTTTCTGGCATATTTTCTGACATCCTTTCTCGCACTCTGTCTGGCATATATCTGACATCCTTTCTATCCGGCAATGCTTCTGACGTTATTCTTCATTCTTCATATCTTCTGGCATATCTCTTGGCATCAGGCATTCTCGATGGTGTGCGCGCCCGTGCGTGCCCATACTGTGCTGGCTGCCTCTCCATGGTGCGCAGGACCGTGCGTGCCCAGCCTGACCTGACGGTCTCTATGGCGGGCAGGCCCGTGCATGTCCAGCCCGGCCTAGCGCTCACTATGTGCGCAGGTCCGCTCGTGCCCAGACTGAGCTGGCGTTCTCTATGGTGTGCAGGCCCGCGCGTGCCCAGACTGACCTGGTGCTCTCTATGGTGTCGTGTCCGCCCAGACTGCCTTGCCCCTTTCTATGATGGTGTTTTGGCTCTCGCTGATAACAAAAACGACAACGCAGCGAGGCAAAAGCACCTTTCCGTAGAGAGCACGCAGTGCACTGTATACTACACATGTTGCAGTTCATCAAAGCACTGTAAGAAGGATAGGGAAGAACAAACGCGATATCGTCAAACGTGTTATGGGAGTCTATTGGGGAATATTGAGCTGTTTCCAGACAACTTCACCTGCAGCTACGGTTTCGCAACAACATCGCGTGATTTCCGCGATACCAGGATCATTGATGCAGATGGTAGTGGCACACTCCACATTGCAGAGCTGGTTCAGGGTTTGCTGAAGATTCGGGGAGAGGCTGGTGGTTTCAGCAAAATGTGAGTGTACGATTTTCAAGTCAATGAAACGGACTGCCAGAGCGTCCCGTAAAACAGATGTCTTTTTTGGAAACTCGGAAAGCATCGTATTCATTCCTTTAATTTCCTTACATGTTCAGTGAGGTCAACCGTTAACCTGGAAAACGTCGAATCTATTCGAACGACATTGATGTGTACTTATAAGTTCCTGGAACTTGGGTGACCATCCCCATCCATTCCGCATGTGTTGGACAGCAAACAATGAGTTGCAGTTGTTCTGTATATGAAAATTGTTGTGTTATAGGTTCAAGGTTCAAGTATGTTCACACTTCTAGGGCCCAATTAACTTATTGATATAGTGACACATCCGATCTTCAAACCCTAAACCATCCACGCCGCTATTCGTGCAACTGCTGGATCCCCGTGGCCCAAACGTTGGAGTGTAGTCAGAACATCACTCTGATGACTGTCTCTTCGCTCCAGTTCGACTAGCTCCAAACCTCCAGATCGACCCTCAATTCAGCTGGAAGCACTGGATTCCCCTACCATTTGGAAGTATTGGAAGCATTTGAATTCCCCTACCAGTTGATGTCTTCAAACAGCTTTCCCAGTCGAACCTTGGCAATTTTCTCATGGCAGCCACGGTCGCTGGTCTTTGCAATTCTCCCAGTGGTTTCTCCACAATCTCCACGCATTTGACGGTGTCCCGCAGGTGAACAAGAGCGACACTGTGGCGGCCTTGTTGGCCACGAAAGCAGCGCAGAACATGCTCCTGGAGACCCGTCCCTTGGTGAAGTTCAAACAGTCCCAGACAGAAAACGCCCTGACGCTGGAAAATTGAAGAAATGTTTTGGGCCTTCGTTGTTGGGTTCTGGGGTTGCACCGTCACGATGATGCAATGGACGTGTCAGATTTCTTAGAAATGGACATCGGGCGGACTAGTGGTATGAAAGCATGCACAAACACTTAAGTTTGAACAGAAAAGATCAGTAAAGTTATAGCCGGAGTTGGGTGTCCTGTATTGTACTGGCTTGAACAGTACCATGAATAGGATCGGGTTGCACATGGATTTTGTGTTGCTTAATTTTGTTGAGATATCTTCCTCAGCACCAAACCTCAGAGGATATGTGTGTCTCAAGGGTTTAACTTAGGTTTGGATTGCTGATTGTTGTTTCGTGTGATGTAGTTGAAGGATGTTGAAAGGTAGATCACCACTGTTTTGAGGCAACCACCTGTGTAGACTGTATAATTCTGGCCGTTTCTGTTTAAGGTAAACAAGTCGATGGGTTGCAGTGGTGCTTTTCCAAGTCACTTCAGGCAGTCTTTCTCCGTCGATGAGCACAAGCCTTGAACACCCGAGAAACCCATGTATGTGTCAACTGAGCAGCTAGCTCATCAGCTTAAAACAATAGTCGTCATAAATGATATGATGTTCAGACGTTTTGAGTGGTGGCACATGGTGGCACCATCAAACACCGACCTGATCTCAGTCCTCCGTTACTTGAGCAGATTCCAAATGACGCATTTGTGACCGATTTCGAAGCGAGATCTTGCGCCGAAGGGCACATGTCAGGGCTTTGGTCGTGTCGTGGCAAGTCTTGCTTCTCTTTCGAAGTGATCCGCACACGTTCTTCGTGAGGACACCAATTGCTGAACAATCTGGATGAACTAAAAACAGAACTGCTTGGAATCTTGATTGCACTCACAGGTCGGAGCTGCATGGGGACTGGCTGAAAATACACGAGAAGTCCCAAGAACCATGAAGAACCATGAGTCATGAGGACAGACCAACGAGCCTTGGCACTGGGGTTCTCTGAAAAATAGAACAAACACGGCTGCGGCTCATAGCTAAGCATCCAAGACCATGGTCAGCGAACGACGACGATGGCAATTCGAGCATGTTTATCAGTTGCAAGTAAAACTGATGATGATGGTGATGGTGCTGTGGCTCTAAAATAAGCAAGACACACGGGCACCCACAGTCACCCACGGGCACCTGGGTGGTCGTTGGTCGTTGTGTTTTTGGCCCACGAAATCCACGCGGTGACTGCTGGTTTGGGTGTTTCAAGCAGTTCGAAGGCTTTGGGTTCAACGCTGCTTGTTACCTTCGAAGAAGCATCGTTCAGGGATAGATCGAAACGAAGCGTCGTTGTATTTCATGTAACTGAAATCGAGACTCCATGCAACTGAAATACAAGCCTACATTGACTCCTGAAACCACCCCAATGTAGGTATATATGGCAGTCCCAAGGAGTGTAAGGGTTATTCAATTGCAAAGTTTGTCTCACTCTATGGCGTTTTTGAAGTTGGACAACTTGTTGAGAGACCAATCTTTCACAAGCGAGCAAACCCTGGAAGAAGGCCGCCAGCCCCGCGAATAATTTGCACCCTGTGAAGCGATGGTGGGGATTGGTTGTTATGTTCACTGAAAAAAAATAAAAGATATGCAAGTGAATCCATAGAGACCCATCTACTCGTGATAATGACCCACACGGCGCGTGTTGATCTCCAGACTGGATTTTTATGGGTTTTCTGTTTAAGCCTTCCTATGTACATAAAGGTTTAAGATACATGAAGTGTGCTTGTGGTTTTGATGAAAAGAAGAACTAGTACTACCAGCAAGATGATAGGACCTTCTTGTTTTGATGGATAGGACCTTCTTGAATTGCTTGACTTTTGATGGACATGTTGACCGTCCGTTCTTCCACTCGTGGACCAGAGAATGGTCGAGATGATGGGCCCGCTGGGTCATTGAGTTGTTTGTTTCAATTTGTTTTATGTTCTTTCTATTCTTTGAGGTTGAACCAGGTTTGGAACCTTCTCATCAACATGACATCATGACCGGATGTGATATGTTTCCCTACAGGGATCCACATTATGACCTATCATATCACACAGTTGAACACGTTTGTTGGAGGACCGTCCCAGGTATCACCAGGTTGGTTCTCTGACCCTCCAATTCGTTTGGGCTGTTGCAACAGCGAATGGCCGAGGACTCATCTATGAGCAGCAACTTAGCAGGGGCCGCGGGCAGGTAATCGAGTGCTCCTGAAAAAGAAAAACAACTGGCCCTGTCGTTCACCAGACGACCAGTGGGCCGCTGCCAATCCTCATCTCCTCATCGATATCCCAAAGCTCACTCACGTTTGGCAGCTTCCAGGACCGGTTCCTCCTTTAGTTCAACACCTCAATGCTCGCTTGGATTCGGGTGTTTTTCTTATTTTCCGGTGGTGTGTGCTTTTTGGTGGACCATGCCTCGCGGTGTCATGGTGTCATTGATAGGTGAAGTGCATGACCTGGCCAGCGTTGAAATGGAAGACACATGGATCTCTTTGCGACCTTTGTCCACTCTTCTTCCAACTAGATTGACGCGACGCGTTCTTGGCTAGATCTGGGAATCTGCTTCGCCGTGAAAGAACTGGGGCAGCGCTGGTGCGTTGAGGGGATTGTGCTTAAGAAGCTGGAGAACAAATCACTCCCCATCATGTATGGAGTGTAGACGGTTGATGAATAGCTAATAACCCCCCTAATTGCTCAAATGGTTCTACAATGCTTTACACCTTCATCAGGTGGGAGATTTGATCCAGTCTCCATGACAGTCTGAAGGAACCTGTGGGATTCCTCCGAGGCAGGTGAAGATGCGCAAGGCCTTGGCCACGATCAGCTCCCCAGCGACCACGCCCGAGCTGAACTCCATCAGCCGGCCACAGTCGCTCATCTCTGGGGAGACAGGAAGGTGGGTTTAGGGTTTAGGGATGGTTTTTTGGACAGGCATGGAAGGACAGCAAGACATTGGAAGACCGTAGTAGCTAAGGGCATTACTACTAGTAACAAGAAGCTACTACTCGTAGTAGCAAGGTGCATCGCTACACCTACATGATCCGAAACTCCGAGACTCCTTGACCAGCAATCACAAGAATACCAGCAAAGGCTGTGTTCATGAGATGTGTTATTTGTGTATAATATATATATATATATGCGCTTTCTTTTGTGAACGACACACATGTTTTTGCTAGAGTTGCTCATATACATATATACATATATGACAATTGAGGGGGTACCATATATAAATATTTAATATTTACTATACTCATACTATATATACATGTGCGGTTGTATGATATATATATATAGTTTGTTTCCTGGGTGTTGCTTCTCTCATGAAGCATTATGTTTTTAACAACGTCAAGCAACATTTCAACACATGTTTAACGTATTTCAGTGTTTCATGTTTCAATAACATCGCCTCATAGGTTACACTCTCAGTAGCTGAATTGGTCTGAGATCAGCCTCATTTGCAGCTTTGCTGGTGGGAGGCACTATCCAACAGAAAAGCACAACAATCGCTGTGCCATCAGGTCGAAAGGACTTGTACAAGTGATTATAAGGGATCTTTTGCAAAACCAGGCGATGCTTTCAGGTCACTTTGAAGAACCAGAAGTAAAGCGGCATCCTGAAAGTTGTTTAACCCTTTCATGCAGGCCTTCTCCAAACCTTCTTTTCTTGGACCCAAAGCTTTCGGACCTGGACATCACATAATAGGTGTCTCCCGTTTTGTCCACTCAAAAGGACATTTAAGATAGAACCGGATCCATGCTCTTTGGCAGTCAGGCTGCACCGCAGTGAACCAAACAGACTGCCTTTCACCCTCGTCCCGAGGCACGTGGCCAGCGGAGCGGCGGCCAGACTGAAGCACTTTGACCGCGAGACCTCAAGGTCGTCCTCGGAGAGGGGGTCGCCTGGATGGACCGGTGACGTTTGGCCTTTGGAAACCATGAGCCTTGGACGTGTTGGAGACGTTGAGAACAGGTGAAGAAACATGAAGAAACAGCTTCAGTGTTGAACTTTGTTAGGTATGGTGGGTTGGAAGATGATTTTCCTCTAATTGCGGTTGTTTGTTGTTTGTCGGTTTGTTTTTTTGTTGTTGGTCATTGGTCTGTGACCTTCCGCGCGTGGCCGAGGAAGTTGCCTCGGAGACCGGCTGCTTGGCACGGAGACCGGCTGCTGTCGGGTCGACCGGAGCTGAAAGGGCTTTTGAGATCGCATTGCACAGCAGGGAGAGGGAACTTGAGGTATGAGGATTATATAAAATGTAGGTCCTTATCTCTATATATCTCGGTTTCGAAGCTGGTTTGGGTGGGTGCCAGGGAGGTCTAACTCCCTTTTTGAGGATCTACGGTGTGCACATCTTGTTTTGGAAGCTCCGATGTGCTGGATGTTCCGAAGGCCAATGACCCCGCGGCCGCCTCACCAAGCTCGACTGTTGGGTCACGCGTTTGGACTGGCACATCGTCCCCAACAAAGGATTGCAGTTGGATGCAACGATCAGTTTCCGAAGAAGTTGCCCTGCTTCAAGCCACACGTTTTGGTACTATAGAGTTGTCCTTTTCAAGGGACGTTTTGGTATAGAGTTGCCATTGTCCAGGGACCAAGGGGATTTTGAGTGGCACCCAGCCCTTTGAGCCATAGTAGCCACGTCACCTCTAGTGCAAGGTAAAGGCGGGACCATCGACTCATGTACACGAATCTTGATTCTCTTTCCCAAAAAGGCTGTCGCACAGTCCACAGCTGGTCGCATGCTATTTTTCCAAGTGCGCCCCAGAATCGATGGTAAATCTCCATTTAAAGATATTTAAAGCATATCGAAGAACTGTTTCCCAGACACTCCATGGGACGGCCATATATGCCTACATTGGGGTGGTTTGGGGGGTCAATGCAGGCATATGTGGCAGTCCCATGGAGTGTTTGGGGTTTGTTTGGCCACTTCCGTTTAACGGATGGACCCCCCAACACTTTGCGTGTGATCTTTCATCTCAGGAAGCCGTGGTGGAAGAAGAGGATGCCACTTGGCACTCGATGGCACGATCCAGGTCCACTGCCCCGAATTCCAGGTCCATGCGCCGTACCACGCGCCGTACCCGGGACCAAGCGGTCAGACCAGGGCCATTTTGCGGGGCGACCGGGGAGTTGGTCGCATCGAAGATAGAGCTGTCGTAGGGTCCGAACCATGGATCATGGATCATCCATCAATGGGTGTTTGATCTTAGCCGAGAAAAAAAGGAAAAGGAAGCAAGCTTGACTGGCAGGAGTGTCAGGTTTGCACCTGTTCATCCCCTGACATCCCACATCCGATGTCACTGCATGTCGGCTGCATCCACCCCCATGGAGCTCAGGCCGCTGGAGTCCGTTGACCCTTGAGGCCTTCCCTCGGTCATTGAGTCGGTGGACCGCAGAAGGTTGATTTGAACACCGTGAAACTCCTCCCCTGTGGTAGGTCTTCGAAATGCCCCAACTATGGTTTGTGCTAACTCACCGGGTTCGTCAGGGTTATCCCAAGAATATATACACCTTACATCGCGTGTGATATCCTCCAAGACCCGCGGCGTTTGCCGCCAAGGCCATTCCGGCACCTCCAACTCTTGATTGAGGGACCGCCCAAACGGGTGCGTTTCACGCGGACCGCGCGGACGGGCAAACACGAATGCACTTGTGAGGCGAACGCCTGGCCTGGCGAAGTTAGATTGACCTCTAACTCACTTGACTTGCAATTGAACTGGTTTCATTTCAAATGTCTGGACTTGATCCAAATTAATGAGAGCCACTCGGAAACATAAATGTTCATCCAATAACACCAATGAGAGGTTTGGATGCCCGCATGATGCACGTGTTTGACTGGACCCCTCATGATTTCAAACCTCAGATGATGGAGCTGGCCACCGTGTAACAGTGTAGTCGACCTCGTCACAACGAGAGACATCGGCATGCCCCAATGATGTCATGGACTGAGAATACAAGCCAACTGGGCTTTGCCTCCCCAAGAAACCAGGAATTGCAACATGTTGTTAACCTCTCAAGTGCAAGGTCCCCCTAGCTTCGCAACAGTTTTTCATCTTCGGCAGCTACAGGGCATAGTATTCCTTTTGGCCCCCCCATTCCCCAAACTGGGGCGATCCGATGGCGATTCGGATTCACACGTCTTGGGTCAGCTGCGGATCAAATTCACACGTCCGATGTTCATGGCAGGTGTGGGACGGTGAATTACACAAAGTTGCATTTGTTTTTCACAGAAGACATTCCGGTGTGAGAAATGACCGCCCACACCATTCTAGGCTGTAGGACTCTGGGGGGAAAGGGCTGTGATTTCGAAGCGCAGATATTGTCTGGCTAGCGGCGGCCCGTGTATTACGGGCACATCTTCTATCCCGTCCAAAAGGAGGTTGACCTATGGTAAAAACCTTCGTTGACTCCATGTGTTGGCAGACTCCACCATCTGAAGGGTTTCCGCCAAAACCCACGCGTCTTCGACCGAATGGTCTGGACCGAACCGGCGATGGCACCCCCTCGGTGTTGAGCGCCAAGACCACGACGGCAAAGCAATGACAGCGCATGAACCCGCGGCGGACGCGTGTTTTTGTTCTTGGTGGTTTTCGGCTGGTTTGGTGTAATGGCCAATTCACGTCATTCACCGGAGAAACGCCACGGGTTTCTCGCCACTTTGAAGGTACTTGGCGACCCGGTGGACCCATGTGTTCATGGGTTCGACCCCCCCCCCCCGAGCCTTTGATTCGCTTCCAGCACTAAGGAGATTTGCATCACGCAAAGTGCTAAGGGATTGCCAAACAAAGCTAAGTACAAAGGGCCAAACCCGGGCAGGAGTCTTGTAGGATAAGAAGCAAATCGATGGGACATGGATTTGTTTTTTTTCAGGGGATTCATGCCCAGCATCCCTGTGCAACCGGCGTTTGGTACAGCTCGGTGCCCCCACTGGTCGTAGCCCAAAACGCCCCTCAAACAGCTCGGTGGCACGGTAGCGCGGGAGGTTCGCATTGCCCCTTCTTGGATGGCCAGATACCCTTCACCAAGGCCAGGGCTGCTCAGATGCGCATCACACAGAGTGGAATGCTGGCCCCAAAGGCGTAGGAAAATATGGCCGGCGATAGATTCAGGGAAGAACATCGGCGGCCATCAAGATCCATCAAGTATGTTTATTTTAATATATAACTATATATATGAATATATGTTTATTACTATATATGTATATTATATATGTGTACATGTTACATCTTGTTTTTGTCGGGTGTGTATTTTAGACATCTCTTTTTGCCAGACGGGGATGACATTTGCAACAACACCTTGACGTCCCTCCGCCTCGGGTCGAACTCCGCGTAGATGGAGCGATGTCGTGGGGCGGAGGTCGAGCAAGATCGAAGCTCCACACAGATGTCACCTGAGGGGTTTTGGAAGGTACCAAGAACAAGCCCTGTGCCAAACTGACCAAAGAACATGACGAACCAGTTGGTGCTCGGCATCGAGCAGAAACGACGTTTGGACTTCGTCCTGCATTCTTGGAGGGCATGCTGGTGCCAAGTCTGTGACAGCACCTCTTGTAGTTTAAAGGTCCTTTTTTGCTGGTGAAGCACTTTTGTATCTCCAAGACCGGTCTTCTTCGTCATCGCCCGGTCGACCCTCTCAACGTTCGACCGATCTCGCGGAATCAGAGACCGCGGACAGCTTGGCGGTCTGGTTCGATGGGTTCGGTCGCTTTTGCAGGTGGCCCCCGAGTTGGGAAGCTTTACACTCTCCTGCTGGGCAGACACCTGTGAGCCTTGGCAGATCTTGGCAGCATGCGTTCTTCGTTCGTTTTTTTTTCATGTGGGCAGATGGAGCAATTCCATTTGGGATTGGAAATGGACTTGGAAATTCTCTGTGGAATTGGATACTATGTAGAGGGGGTTTCTTGAAATGATTGGCGCCGCTGATTTTGGGAGTGTTCATCCACGACAGAAAAGCGTGGCTCATTTATATATCATCCACGAAACCTGAAGGAGCATCCAGAAGACCGACAGAACATCCGATCATCTCCGATTGGTTCTGTACGTCATTGTCGAATCATATATGGGATTATGGGAGATGCTCCAACTAATGCTTCTCTCCTCCAGTCTTATCCCAGAACTGGGCGAACTGGATGTTTTTGGTCCAGAACATGACTGTGAGTCACGGCACCAGACCTCCCGGAAGAAAACAGGAACAGAATGGACGCAGCATTCAACCGACCGATCCCTTTGGTTTTGGAGGTTTGGGTTAAAAACACGAGTGTTTTAGGATCATTTATATAGGCAATTTGAGTGATGCGGTTGATGTTTTCTGCACAGCTATTCCTGGTATACCGTTCAATAATGAAGGAAGGAAGACATCCAACAAAGAACCGTAATGTAGATTGATCAGATCTCAGCAATTACAGACAGTGGATTGTACAAGAAAACGATTCAACAGAGGGTACACCCTCCTCCAGTATGGACCTGTGACATGTATCCCATCCATGCAACATGTGTTTGCGTCCTATGCACCTGGCTGGTGCTGTCCCCAATTCTCACTGCAGTGTGAAGAAGTTAACGCCCCTTCTCCTGAGCGACCAAATTCAGGCTCGAACTGGGAGTATATAGGAATTGGGCCTGAACCCGACGTCGGTGGTTTTAGTTTGAGGTGGACATGAAGGAGATGAAGGATCGCAAGAATCCAACTTCGCCTGGGAAGGTCCCAGAGACCCAGAAATGTATCTATAGATAATATATATAATATATAGTTTGAATTCTTCTGGCCTCAGCTCAGAAAATCACATGATGACATATGTCGCTTTGCATTCATCAGGTCCTGGAGTTTTTCGAGGGCTTCCTGGCAGAGACCTAGGGCGAGCCACCAGGCGATTTTTCCAGCCTTGCGGGTGATTTTAAGGCGGCGATTTCCTGCCCCCAAAATCGCCTTGGCCGGTTTGTGCCAAATGCTATGGCGTGAATGAATGGGCGCTTTTGTTACGATTTTGTGGGGATTTCTTTGGAATCATCCTGGCTTAGAATTCAACACACATGCTTGTTGCGGTTTGGTCTGACAGGTGACAATCAGTTTGGTGATATCTTTGGAGTACAGCTGCAGCAAACTGATCAGGGCTACATGCCAAAAATGGTGGCTGAAGATGCTGCAGATCAGACCATATGTGTGGATCTTCAATCCATTTTCACATCCTGGAAGACGATGTCCTTATCATTTCCTACTACTACTGTGTGTTCTCTTTTCGGCTTTCCAGAAGTCCGACTCTTCCGAACCTCGGGGGGCAGACCCCTTAGAGCACATCACCTTGGCACGCCCAATTCACATTCCGCCTCTCCGATCACGGGCGGATTTCGCCGGGCCATCGCTGTAGTGCTTGACTCAGAGATGGACCGAACTCGGCTGAAAAGCGCCACGTGTTGTTTTCGGAAGGAAGGAAGGAAGGAAGGAAGGGATTTCTGGGAAGCAGGGGGGTAGGGACAAAACACCGAAACACCGATTCGACCGGTCTTTGTTCTTTTTCTGGCCTACAAGTTCTTGGTGGTGATTTGTTGGAGCTGGTAGATTGGCCGCGTTTGAGAGGAACCGTAGACCTATTCCTGTGGGATTCCTTCTTGCTCAGCTATACAACTGATCAAAGAGAACGGACTGAACATACTCCATGCACCAGAGTGTTTTCGCTGAGGAACTGGATGTTTGTCTCGGTTGACTGGACAGCATCTGGTTGGCCACAAAACACATGACCTGCCCACATCGGGACGGGTCATTGAACAGTGGGTTGAAGCCCATATGTATTATATATATAATATATATACACATAATGTACTGTATATTATACAGATCGATGTATACCGTCTTACCATGGTCTTTATTCTGGGAGTTGGGACATTTCTGCGACCACCTCACACCATCAAAGAATTATCAAAGACAGGTCATGACCCAGGAGAACCATGGGAAGACCCGTGTTGTCTTCATGGTCTCGTTTTCTGAATTGAGTGGAGGCCATAGCTATTAGGTTGGAGGCCATAGCTATTAGGTTGGAGGCCATCGCTATTAGGTTGGAGGCCATTGCTGGGTATCAGAAAGCATATAACATATATCACTTCAAGAGTGCCCTAAAAGCACCTTCGCGCCGCGCCGCTCCCTTTGGCTCGGCAGCTGGCCGCACACGCACCGCCCAAAAGCGCACGAACGCACGGTCTACGGTAGTGGGAAGATGCCGCCAAAGGCTGACAAGAAAGCCGCGCCGAAGGCGGCAGCGAAGGAGAACAGCCGTGGGAAAGAACAGCCGTGCTTGCGTTGTGGATGGTTTCAAAAGCCAAGAGGTGGCTTCAAGGGATTCCAATATGATGGAGCACGTTTCATTTGACCTTAGACCACTTAGTAAAAGACTTGACATTGGGTTTGAAACATTTGCAGGCTCCTTGGAAAACGACAATACACTCATCAACAAAGGACAACACCGTGTCTATAACAGGTCAATATTTTTTGGCAGGGGTGATGTGTCATTCCAAGGACCATTCTGTCGGAAACCACGTTTTTTAACCTCACTATGGGTTTTGTGTGGGTTGCTCCTTGTAAACCACCCAATTCTGGTAATCACAGGTGTGTTTCTCAAGCATAGGATAGCATAGGGTATTTCGTCCAAGCTTTGCCTGGCAGTTCCTTGTCCCCTGTAAGCCCCAAGT